CATAGCCGCTTAGGTGACAAGGCGACACGCGAACAGAAAACAGTCGGCGATTTTTCGTTTCCCTTCCCTGACCGCCAGATTCACGTGCCACGTGAACCATTTCCAACCAGCCACGGAGCCTATTCTCGAATCTCCCTGTCATGGGCAAAACTTGAACCTGACCGGACCGACCATTCCCAGATTCAACACAACCAATCATCATTGAGGGTTTTCCTTCACCGCTGGTTGTATGGTTCCTGTAGGCACAACGAGAAATCCGAACCTACGGCTGCGATCTGAACTAGGAGAAATCGTTCCCAAGCCTGATTGATTCCGGACGGTAGATTTCGTGGGGTGAGAACCCAAGAGCGTTGGTTGGGATGCGAGGGAAGGAGAGTCGCGGCATTCCGCAATCCCTCCGCCTCATTCCAACGTCATTCTCGCCTGAGCCTCGCATTTCACAGCGTTTTCGCCTCTTGCGCTCCCATTTTTCACCCCTAGCTTCTTCTGCTCACATGCTCGTTTCTTAGAGCTTAGCATCTAGAGCTCTGCTTGTGAAGCTCAGCGTTTGGAGCTAACATTTCTCAACATATAGAGCTCAGGCTTACGTTTACTGATACGATTTCTCAACGTCAACGCCTTTGGCTGCGTCCGGCTGTATCGTAGGAGCTTCGTTTTCGGGGAAAAGGGAGCGGAAAGTCGCGTAATCTAGCATGGAAACTCGGCATATTTTGCGCAGATGGATTTTCCACTCAGGTAATACTGAGCGCTTCTGCTTATATTTCGCGCACTGAGTTTCATTCTGGTGCAATTCGCTAAGTTAGAACACGGAAGCGACACGCGATGTATTCTGACGTGACGTCCATCCTCGGCACGTGACAGGATCGATGTGGACGGGACATGTAACTTCAATTGGCCGTACGCAAATTTCGAGAGCGACGCGTGACGCTCTCTACTCAGGTGCTTGTTAGCGCATCCGTTCAATTTATTAGCGCATCCGCTTTTATTGCCAAGTGTAGTTCGATTTTCCGGAACTATCCTTCCAAATTCGACATGCAATTATTTCTGACATGACGTCTGCATGTGCCAGGTTTATTGTGGTGGCGAGGCGACATCTCACCGATCAGGCTGTACGCGATTTTGGAGAGCCACGGATTTGCGAGCTCGGCTGTACGATTTCGGATGTACGAACTTGGATCGACACTCGTCCTTGCAGCTCAGGTATTGCCGCATCGGTTTCATTAGTCAAATTCGCAATTTCAGTTACTGGATCAATTTCGCGTTTCATGTCATCGGTATCTCAATTTCTGCCAATCGTCTTGGCGGATCCATCTCGCGTTGTTGTTCCGCGTTTCGATTCGTGACTCATTTGCGCGCATCAGTTTCGCAAATCCATTTCGAGGTCGATTTAGTGGCACAGTGCCATGCGCGAGCGACTTATCGAAACCTCGCGGATCAAGTTTTTTGTTACTCATGCTGCTCTCTCCTCGTTCCCTCCGCTCTTCTCTCCCGTGCAGGTCACTCGGCCTCAAGGAGCAATGGCAGGCGGACGTCGGGCAGCAAGCAAGCACGTGGGTGGCCCTCATGCCTCAAGCACCTGGCGGCAGCAGACAGCAGTAACATCGTCAGCTAAGTGCTCTCTCCTCCTCGCATCCCGCATCACACCCCTTTCCATGTTTCCGCGTTTCCTTCATCCCGCCGTCCATCAAATTGGGGCCACTGCTGGCAGCACACGGTACAACCCACACACCCCGCTCACTCTCAGGTAAAGCCCCCCCCAGGTGATGCCTTGAGGTATAGCCCTCTCTCACTGCAGGTAGCAACCAGCCCGTGGGTCTGTGGCTTGTGACTGTGTGTGCACCAGTGGCCCTCCTCCCGTTCTTGCTCATCTCACGTTGCATGCATGCATCCCCTTTCCCACTGCTGCCTCCCTCCCTCTCACTACCCTTCTAAGCGCACCCTCCCCTCTTCCTTACCCCCCCCCCTCCTCCGGCCCACCCCCCTTCCCCCCCCCTTCCTCCCAGCAGCGCTAGAGCCGAGCTACAGTGGGAGGGACACGCCTGCTGCCCGTGCTCCTTCAACTGCCGCCTCCTCTCTCGCTTCCAGCTAAGTGCCCCTTCCTCCACGTCATCACTTGTACTTGCCAGTTTGTTCTTGCTCGTGCTTTCGCCTTTCTCCTTGAAACACTGCCACTGGTTGAGCCCGGCTCACATGCCACAGACCCTCTTAGATCAGATAACCCCCTCAGGTGCAGGTATCCCTTGAGGTGCAGGTACGCTCTTCAGGTTCCCTTTGGGTCTGTGACTTGTGCCCGTGCCTCCATCAGTGGCCCCTCCTATCTTCCTGAACTGGCAGCTTCTGGTGTTTCCCTTGTGCTTGTGGCCATTCCATGCGCACTCACTGCTGCTCTGTGTGTGCCTTGCTGCTGGAGGGGAGGGGCGTGGGGTCAACACCGACGCTCCCTCACGCCTCTCCCCTGTGGCCGTGCAGGGACGCGGAAGGGAGGCTGGGAGGAGGGCTGCTGGGAGGAGTCACCTGGTGGTGCTTCAGCTGCCTTCTGCTCGCTCTCACATGACCAGCTAAGTGCCCCTTCCTCCACGCCCTCACCCTTGCCTGCCACATCATATCGCCTTGTCCTTTCTGTCAGTTTGTTGGTTGCTTGTGCTTTCGCACTTCTCCTTGAATCAGCGCCACTGCTTGGAACCAGTCCACATGCCACAGACCCCCTTACTTCAGGTACTTTTTCAGGTGCAGGTATCCCCCTCAGGTTCTGCAGGTTCCCTTGGGGTCTGTGACTTGTGGCCGTGCTTCCATCAGTGGCCCCTCCTATCTTCCTGATTTGGCAGCTTCTGGTGTTTCCCTTGTGCTTGTGGCCATTCCATGCGCACTCACTGCTGCTCTGTGTGTGCCTTGCTGGTGGAGGGGAGGGGCGTGGGGTCAGCACCGACGCTCCCTCGCGCCTCTCCCTGGTGGCCGTGCAGGTGGCAGTGGGGAAGGGAGGAAGGCTGGGAGAGAGACTTGCGACGGGGGAGAGTATCTGGGGTGGGGATGGCCTCTCAAGGTGAGCCTCTTGCCTGCTCTTTCCCACTGCACTCACTTCCCCCTTTGAGGTTCCCGGCCCATCAGTCCATTGCACCTCTGTTTGACCTCCCTCCTGTTTCCCTCCTGCTTTCCTCCTGGCTGCCCTCCCTTGTGCCCCCCACCAGGTCACTCCGCGTGCACCAGGCGGTAGGGAAGGCTGGGCTGCACACTGCCAGCACCACTTGCGGCAGCAGAAGCAGCGGTGTGCGCAGGAGCAGCAGGAGGGGAGGGGAGGGGAGGGGACATGAGACAGCAGGCCCCGCTGGTGCTTCAACTGCCAGCTAAGTGACCTCTTCTTTCTTCAATCTCCCTGGCTTGCTGGTCACCGCTTTCTGCATGTGGTTCTGTGCTTTGTTTGACCTTCAAATTCTCGCCACTGGTTGGGGCCCGGTTCACAAGCCACAGACCTGCCTTCTCTCTTGGTAAGCCCCTCGGGTTCAGCCCTCCCATTCTCACTGCTGTCCCCTGATCCCCTGCCTACCCCTGCCTTGCTCCCTCCCTCCCAGTACATTGAAGGCTGTAGCAGGGCAGAACAGGGGCAGCAGCAGGGCAGCAGCGGAGGGGACGGGAGGGGCAGAGTCAGCAGCAGGGGAAGCAGAGTAGCAGACCGGGAGTGGCAGTGGCGGCTGACATGGAGTGCACAGGCAGCAGCTGCTCTCCACCCAACCCACCTACAGCTAAGTACCCCGCCCTTCCTGACTTCTCCCAACCCTCGCACTCTGTTGCTTTGCTTGTCATGCTTGCACCATGCATTGCACCCCCTTTTTCACTGCTCTTTGTCACACCCATTAGACCTCCCTCCCCCAAGGTAGTAGGTATTTTTTTCTTGGTACAGCCTCAGGTTTTTGTTTTAGTTTGGTTCAGCTGGTACGAGGTCTCTTGGTTGTGCCACTGCAGCAGTCCATTCATGCACACATCATGCTTGCGTTTGCTGCACTCTTCACTTTCACTTGTCTTGGCTTCTTTCCTAACTGCTCTCTCCACTCCTCTCCCCCCCCTTCACTCCCCCGATTTCCTCCCCCACTCCTCCCTTTCTCTCTCTGTCCCGATCCGCCAGGTCGCTCACACGGGAGTGGCAGTGGCGGGGACATGGAGTGCACAGGCAGCAGCTGCTCTCCACCCAACCCACCCACAGCTAAGTCCCTGCCCTGCTGTCCTTCTCCCAGTTCTCCCTCTTGACCTCCACCTCCTAATTCTCGTTTTTCTCCACACTTGTGCTCCTCTGTTTCTGTTCACGCCAACTCACCAGTTCCTCCTGCCCCTCCCCTCGTGTCCCTCACCTCCCATTTCTGCCCACCACCAGGTCACTTGGCATCAAGAGAAGACTACAGCAGCAGAAGCAGCGAAGCAGAGTAGCAGATCGGCAGCAGCAGTTGCAGCAGCAGAAGCGGCCAAGGCAGCAGCAGTAGCAGCAGTGGGGGCTGGGGGGCTAGAGGGCAGTCTAGGCTAGGTGTAGTGTAGCTGTGGGGAGGTGTGGTATCAGGTGTGGTATGGTAACAGGTGAGGTATGGTCATCTGTTCCCCTCCTCTCTTTCTCTCCTTCCCCCCTCTCTCCCGTGCAGGCTGAGGAGCACTGGAGCAAGAGCAGGAGAGTGGAGTCCATCCTCTCACTCACCTCCTCCTCGCTCCCTTTTCCCCACCCCTCCCAGCAGCACCCTGCCTGGACCACAGTGGGAGTCCCACCCTCCCCTAATCCCCCCTCCCCACTTCCCAGCAGCCTCAGCATCATGACGCTCTGCATGGCTCTGGTAGGTACAGGTAAGGAGGCATGGGGGTGAAGTGTGGGGTGGGTGGGTGGGAAGCATGGGAGCAAGCGGGGAGTTCACTTCCTGAGGGGCAGCATTCTCAGGGGATGTGCCTTGTGGGGTGGGGTGTGGTGGGTGGAATCTCCGCGGCACGGCACTCGGTGCTCAGGTTCCCAATCTGGCGTTTAAGGCTTAATGGACACCGTCAGAGCCGACCGGCCGGCGGCTCTGGTTCGCGTCAGCTCTAGCTACGTCAGGGGTGGGATTCGAGTCTTGGGCTGGAAGCGATTTTTCACTGCCACACCTCGCCCGACAAAGCACAACTTCTGCGGATGGTGTTTCCGAAAGGGAGTGGGATGTCTGCTGCTCCTACTGCTGGCAGGTGAAGTTGGGGTGCTTGCTTCCCTCTGTATCCTCCCTCTGTTCCTTCCCTCAGTTCCTTCCCTCAGTTCCTTCCCTCAGTTCCTTCCCACAGTTCCTTCCCTCAGTTCCTTCCCTCAGTTCCCTCCCTCAGTTCCTTCCCTCAGTTCCTTCCCTCAGTTCCTTCCCTCAGTTCTTTCCCTCAGTTCCTTCCCTCAGTTCCTTCCCTCAGTTCCTTCCCTCAGTTCCCTCCCTCAGTTCCCTCCCTCAGTTCCTTCCCTCAGTTCCTTCCCTCAGTTCCTTCCCTCAGTTCCCTCCCTCAGTTCGTTCCCTCAGTTCCTTCCCTCAGTTCCCTCCCTCAGTTCCCTCCCTCAGTTCCTTCCCTCAGTTCCTTCTCTCAGTTCCTTCCCTCAGTTCCTTCCCTCAGTTCCTTCCCTCAGTTCCCTCCCTCAGTTCCCTCCCTCAGTTCCTTCCCTCAGTTCCTTCCCTCAGTTCCTTCCCTCAGTTCCTTCCCTCAGTTCCTTCCCTCAGTTCCTTCCCTCAGTTCCTTCCCTCAGTCCCCTCCCTCAGTTCCTTCCCTCAGTTCCTTCCCTCAGTTCCCTCCCTCAGTTCCTTCCCTCAGTTCCTTCCCTCAGTTCCCTCCCTCAGTTCCCTCCCTCAGTTCCTTCCCTCAGTTCCTTCCCTCAGTTCCTTCCCTCAGTTCCTTCCCTCAGTTCCTTCCCTCAGTTCCCTCCCTCAGTTCCCTCCCTCAGTTCCTTCCCTCAGTTCCTTCCTTCAGTTCCTTCCCTCAGTTCCCTCCCTCAGTTCCTTCCCTCAGTTCCTTCTCTCGGTTCCTTCTCTCGGTTCCTTCCCTCAGTTCCTTCCTTCAGTTCCTTCCCTCAGTTCCCTCCCTCAGTTCCTTCCCTCAGTTCCTTCTCTCGGTTCCTTCTCTCGGTTCCTTCCCTCAGTTCCTTCCCTCAGTTCCTTCCTTCAGTTCCTTGCCTCAGTTCCTTCCCTCAGTTCCCTCCCTCAGTTCCCTCCCTCAGTTCCTTCCCTCAGTTCCTTCCCTCAGTTCCTTCCCTCAGTTCCCTCCCTCAGTTCCCTCCCTCAGTTCCGTCCCTCAGTTCCTTCCCTCAGTTCCTTCCTCAGTTCCCTCCCTCAGTTCCCTCCCTCAGTTCCGTCCCTCAGTTCCTTCCCTCAGTTCCTTCCCTCAATTCCCTCCCTCAGTTCCTTCCCTCAGTTCCTTCCCTCAGTTCCTTCCCTCAGTTCCTTCCCTCAGTTCCTTCCCTCAGTTCCCTCCCTCAGTTCCCTCCCTCAGTTCCTTCCCTCAGTTCCTTCCCTCAGTTCCTTCCCTCAGTTCCTTCCCTCAGTTCCTTCCCTCAGTTCCTTCCCTCAGTTCCCTCCCTCAGTTCCCTCCCTCAGTTCCCTCCCTCAGTTCCTTCCCTCAGTTCCTTCCCTCAGTTCCCTCCCTCAGTTCCTTCCTTCAGTTCCTTCCCTCAGTTCCTTCCCTCAGTTCCTTCCCTCAGTTCCTTCCCTCAGTTCCCTCCCTCAGTTCCTTCCCTCAGTTCCTTCCTTCAGTACCCTCCCTCAGTTCCTTCCTTTAGTTCCTTCCCTCAGTTCCCTCCTCAGTTCCCTCCCTCAGTTCCCTCCCTCAGTTCCCTCCCTCAGTTCCCTCCCTCAGTTCCTTCCCTCAGTTCCTTCCTTCAGTTCCTTCCCTCAGTTCCCTCCCTCAGATCCTTCCCTCAGTTCCCTCCCTCAGTTCCCTCCCTCAGTTCCTTCCCTCAGTTCCTTCCCTCAGTTCCCTCCCTCAGTTCCTTCCCTCAGTTCCTTCTCTCAGTTCCTTCCCTCAGCTCCTTCCCTCAGTTCCCTCCCTCAGTTCCCTCCCTCAGTTCCCTCCCTCAGTTCCTTCCCTCAGTTCCTTCCCTCAGTTCCTTCCCTCAGTTCCTTCCCTCAGTTCCTTCCCTCAGTTCTCTCCCTCAGTTCCCTCCCTCAGTTCCTTCCCTCAGTTCCTTCCCTCAGTTCCTTCCCTCAGTTCCTTCCCTCAGTTCCTTCCCTCAGTTCCTTCCCTCAGTTCCCTCCCTCAGTTCCCTCCCTCAGTTCCTTCCCTCAGTTCCTTCCCTCAGTTCCTTCCCTCAGTTCCCTCCCTCAGTTCGTTCCCTCAGTTCCTTCCCTCAGTTCCCTCCCTCAGTTCCCTCCCTCAGTTCCTTCCCTCAGTTCCTTCTCTCAGTTCCTTCCCTCAGTTCCTTCCCTCAGTTCCTTCCCTCAGTTCCCTCCCTCAGTTCCCTCCCTCAGTTCCTTCCCTCAGTTCCTTCCCTCAGTTCCTTCCCTCAGTTCCTTCCCTCAGTTCCTTCCCTCAGTTCCTTCCCTCAGTTCCTTCCCTCAGTCCCCTCCCTCAGTTCCTTCCCTCAGTTCCTTCCCTCAGTTCCCTCCCTCAGTTCCTTCCCTCAGTTCCTTCCCTCAGTTCCCTCCCTCAGTTCCCTCCCTCAGTTCCTTCCCTCAGTTCCTTCCCTCAGTTCCTTCCCTCAGTTCCTTCCCTCAGTTCCTTCCCTCAGTTCCCTCCCTCAGTTCCCTCCCTCAGTTCCTTCCCTCAGTTCCTTCCTTCAGTTCCTTCCCTCAGTTCCCTCCCTCAGTTCCTTCCCTCAGTTCCTTCTCTCGGTTCCTTCTCTCGGTTCCTTCCCTCAGTTCCTTCCTTCAGTTCCTTCCCTCAGTTCCCTCCCTCAGTTCCTTCCCTCAGTTCCTTCTCTCGGTTCCTTCTCTCGGTTCCTTCCCTCAGTTCCTTCCCTCAGTTCCTTCCTTCAGTTCCTTGCCTCAGTTCCTTCCCTCAGTTCCCTCCCTCAGTTCCCTCCCTCAGTTCCTTCCCTCAGTTCCTTCCCTCAGTTCCTTCCCTCAGTTCCCTCCCTCAGTTCCCTCCCTCAGTTCCGTCCCTCAGTTCCTTCCCTCAGTTCCTTCCCTCAGTTCCCTCCCTCAGTTCCCTCCCTCAGTTCCGTCCCTCAGTTCCTTCCCTCAGTTCCTTCCCTCAATTCCCTCCCTCAGTTCCTTCCCTCAGTTCCTTCCCTCAGTTCCTTCCCTCAGTTCCTTCCCTCAGTTCCTTCCCTCAGTTCCCTCCCTCAGTTCCCTCCCTCAGTTCCTCCTCAGTTCCTTCCCTCAGTTCCTTCCCTCAGTTCCTTCCCTCAGTTCCTTCCCTCAGTTCCTTCCCTCAGTTCCCTCCCTCAGTTCCCTCCCTCAGTTCCCTCCCACAGTTCCTTCCCTCAGTTCCTTCCCTCAGTTCCCTCCCTCAGTTCCTTCCTTCAGTTCCTTCCCTCAGTTCCTTCCCTCAGTTCCTTCCCTCAGTTCCTTCCCTCAGTTCCCTCCCTCAGTTCCTTCCCTCAGTTCCTTCCTTCAGTACCCTCCCTCAGTTCCTTCCTTTAGTTCCTTCCCTCAGTTCCCTCCCTCAGTTCCCTCCCTCAGTTCCCTCCCTCAGTTCCCTCCCTCAGTTCCTTCCCTCAGTTCCTTCCTTCAGTTCCTTCCCTCAGTTCCCTCCCTCAGTTCCTTCCCTCAGTTCCCTCCCTCAGTTCCCTCTCTCAGTTCCTTCCCTCAGTTCCTTCCCTCAGTTCCTTACCTCAGTTCCCTCCCTCAGTTCCCCTCCCTGAGTTCCTTCCCTCAGTTCCTTCACTCAGTTCCTTCCCTCAGTTCCTTCCCTCAGTTCCTTCCCTCAGTTACCTCCCTCAGTTCCTTCCCTCAGTTCCTTCCCTCAGTTCCTTCCCTCAGTTCCTTCCCTCAGTTCCCTCCCTCAGTTCCCTCCCTCAGTTCCTTCCCTCAGTTCCTTCCCTCAGTTCCTTCCCTCAGTTCCTTCCCTCAGTTCCTTCCCTCAGTTCCTTCCCTCAGTTCCCTCCCTCAGTTCCCTCCCTCAGTTCCCTCCCTCAGTTCCCTCCCTCAGTTCCTTCCCTCAGTTCCTTCCTTCAGTTCCTTCCCTCAGTTCCCTCCCTCAGTTCCTTCCCTCAGTTCCTTCCCTCAGTTCCCTCCCTCAGTTCCCCTCCCTGAGTTCCTTCCCTCAGTTCCTTCCCTCAGTTCCTTCCCTCAGTTCCTTCCCTCAGTTACCTCCCTCAGTTCCTTCCCTCAGTTCCTTCCCTCAGTTCCTTCCCTCAGTTCCTTCCCTCAGTTCCCTCCCTCAGTTCCCTCCCTCAGTTCCTTCCCCCAGTTCCTTCCCTCAGTTCCTTCCCTCAGTTCCTTCCCTCAGTTCCTTCCCTCAGTTCCTTCCCTCAGTTCCCTCCCTCAGTTCCCTCCCTCAGTTCCCTCCCTCAGTTCCTTCCCTCAGTTCCTTCCCTCAGTTCCCTCCCTCAGTTCCTTCCTTCAGTTCCTTCCCTCAGTTCCTTCCCTCAGTTCCTTCCCTCAGTTCCTTCCCTCAGTTCCCTCCCTCAGTTCCTTCCCTCAGTTCCTTCCTTCAGTACCCTTCCTCAGTTCCTTCCTTTAGTTCCTTCGCTCAGTTCCTTCCCTCAGTTCCCTCCCTCAGTTCCCTCCCTCAGTTCCTTCCCTCAGTTCCTTCCTTCAATTCCTTCCCTCAGTTCCCTCCCTCAGTTCCTTCCCTCAGTTCCTTCCCTCAGTTCCCTCCCTCAGTTCCCTCCCTCAGTTCCGTCCCTCAGTTCCTTCCCTCAGTTCCTTCCCTCAATTCCCTCCCTCAGTTCCTTCCCTCAGTTCCTTCCCTCAGTTCCTTCCCTCAGTTCCTTCCCTCAGTTCCTTCCCTCAGTTCCTTCCCTCAGTTCCTTCCCTCAGTTCCTTCCCTCAGTTCCCTCCCTCAGTTCCCTCCCTCAGTTCCCTCCCTCAGTTCCCTCCCTCAGTTCCTTCCCTCAGTTCCTTCCCTCAGTTCCTTCCCTCAGTTCCTTCCCTCAGTTCCTTCCCTCAGTTCCTTCCCTCAGTTCCCTCCCTCAGTTCCCTCCCTCAGTTCCTTCCCTCAGTTCCTTCCCTCAGTTCCTTCCCTCAGTTCCTTCCCTCAGTTCCCTCCCTCAGTTCCCTCCCTCAGTTCCTTCCCTCAGTTCCTTCCCTCAGTTCCCTCCCTCAGTTCCTTCCCTCAGTTCCTTCTCTCAGTTCCTTCCCTCAGTTCCTTCCCTCAGTTCCCTCCCTCAGTTCCCTCCCTCAGTTCCCTCCCTCAGTTCCTTCCCTCAGTTCCTTCCCTCAGTTCCTTCCCTCAGTTCCTTCCCTCAGTTCCTTCCCTCAGTTCTCTCCCTCAGTTCCCTCCCTCAGTTCCTTCCCTCAGTTCCTTCCCTCAGTTCCTTCCCTCAGTTCCTTCCCTCAGTTCCTTCCCTCAGTTCCTTCCCTCAGTTCCCTCCCTCAGTTCCCTCCCTCAGTTCCTTCCCTCAGTTCCTTCCCTCAGTTCCTTCCCTCAGTTCCCTCCCTCAGTTCGTTCCCTCAGTTCCTTCCCTCAGTTCCCTCCCTCAGTTCCCTCCCTCAGTTCCTTCCCTCAGTTCCCTCCCTCAGTTCCTTCCCTCAGTTCCCTCCCTCAGTTCCCTCTCTCAGTTCCTTCCCTCAGTTCCTTCCCTCAGTTCCTTCCCTCAGTTCCCTCCCTCAGTTCCCCTCCCTGAGTTCCTTCCCTCAGTTCCTTCCCTCAGTTCCTTCCCTCAGTTCCTTCCCTCAGTTCCTTCCCTCAGTTCCTTCCCTCAGTTCCCTCCCTCAGTTCCCCTCCCTGAGTTCCTTCCCTCAGTTACCTCCCTCAGTTCCTTCCCTCAGTTCCTTCCCTCAGTTCCTTCCCTCAGTTCCTTCCCTCAGTTCCCTCCCTCAGTTCCTTCCCTCAGTTCCTTCTCTCAGTTCCTTCCCTCAGTTCCCTCCCTCAGTTCCTTCCCTCAGTTCCTTCCCTCAGTTCCCTCCCTCAGTTCCTTCCCTCAGTTCCTTCCCTCAGTTCCCTCCCTCAGTTTCCTCCCTCAGTTCCTTCCCTCAGTTCCTTCCCTCAGTTCCTTCCCTCAGTTCCTTCCCTCAGTTCCCTCCCTCAGTTCCTTCCCTCAGTTCCTTCCTTCAGTTCCTTCCCTCAGTTCCCTCCTTCAGTTCCTTCCCTCAGTTCCTTCCCTCAGTTCCTTCCTTCAGTTCCTTGCCTCAGTTCCTTCCCTCAGTTCCCTCCCTCAGTTCCCTCCCTCAGTTCCTTCCCTCAGTTCCTTCCCTCAGTTCCTTCCCTCAGTTCCCTCCCTCAGTTCCCTCCCTCAGTTTCCGTCCCTCAGTTCCTTCCCTCAGTTCCTTCCCTCAGTTCCCTCCCTCAGTTCCCCCTCCCTCAGTTCCGTCCCTCAGTTCCTTCCCTCAGTTCCTTCCCTCAATTCCCTCCCTCAGTTCCTTCCCTCAGTTCCTTCCCTCAGTTTTTCCCTCAGTTCCTTCCCTCAGTTCCTGTCCCTCAGTTCCCTCCCTCAGTTCCCTCCTCAGTTCCTTCCCTCAGTTCCTTCCCTCAGTTCCTTCCCTCAGTCCTTCCCTCAGTTCCTTCCCTCAGTTCCTTCCCTCAGTTCCTTCCCTCAGTTCCTTCCTCAGTTCCCTCCCTCAGTTCCCTCCCTCAGTTCCCTCCCTCAGTTCCTTCCCTCAGTTCCTTCCTTCAGTTCCTTCCCTCAGTTCCCTCCCTCAGTTCCTTCCCTCAGGTCCTCCCTCAGTTCCCTCTCTCAGTTCCTTCCCTCAGTTTCCTTTCCCTCAGTTCCTTCCCTCAGTTCCCTCCCTCAGTTCCCTCCCTGAGTAGATAGTTCCTTCCCTCAGTCCTTCCCTCAGTAACTCCCTCAGTCCTTCCCTCAGTTCCTTCCCTCAGTTCCTTCCCTCAGTTCCTTCCCTCAGTTCCCTCCCCTCAGTTCCCTCCCTCAGTGTCCTTCCCTCCTCAGTTCCTTCCCTCAGTTCCTTCCCTCAGTTCCTTCCCTCAGTTCCCTCCCTCAGTTCCCTCCCTCAGTTTCCTTCCCTCAGTTCCTTCCCTCAGTTCTTCCCTCAGTTCCTCCCTCAGTTCCTCCCTCAGTTCCTTCCCTCAGTTCCTTCCCTCAGTTCCTTCCCCTCAGTTCCTTCCCTCAGTTCCTTCCTTCAGTTCCTTCCCTCAGTTCCTTCCCTCAGTTCCCTTCCTCAGTTCCTTCCCTCAGTTCCTTCCTTCAGTTCCTTCCTCAGTTCCTTCCCTCAGTTCCTTCCCTCAGTTCCCTCCTCAGTTCCTTCCCTCAGTTCCTTCCTTCAGTTCCTTCCCTCAGTTCCCTCCCTTCAGTTCCCTCCTCCGTTCCTCCCTCAGTCCTTCCCTCAGTTCCTTCCCTCAGTTCCTTCCTCAGTTCCCTCCCTCACGTTCCCTCCCTCAGTTCCGTCCCTCAGTTCCTTCCCTCAGTTCCTTCCCTCAGTTCCCTCCCTCAGTTCCCTCCCTCAGTTCCTCCCTCAGTTCCTTCCCTCAGTTCCTTCCCTCAGTTCCTCTCCCTCAGTTCCTTCCCTCAGTTCCTTCCCTCAGTTCCTTCCCTCAGTTCCTTCCCTCAGTTCCCTCCCTCAGTTCCCTCCCTCAGTTCCTTCCCTCAGTTCCTTCCCTCAGTTCCTTCCCTCAGTTCCTTCCCTCAGTTCCTTCCCTCAGTTCCTTCCCTCAGTTCCTTCCCTCAGTTCCTTCCCTCAGTTCCTTCCCTCAGTTCCCTCCCTCAGTTCCCTCCCTCAGTTCCTTCCCTCAGTTCCTTCCCTCAGTTCCTTCCCTCAGTTCCTTCCCTCAGTTCCTTCCCTCAGTCTTCCCTCAGTTCCTCCCTCAGTTCCCTCCCTCAGTTCCTTCCCTCAGTTCCTTCCCTCAGTTCCTTCCCTCAGTTCCTTCCCTCAGTTCCTTCCCTCAGTTCCTTCCCTCAGTTCCCTCCCTCAGTTCCCTCCCTCAGTTCCTTCCCTCAGTTCCTTCCCTCAGTTCCTTCCCTCAGTTCCTTCCCTCAGTTCCCTCCCTCAGTTCCCTCCCTCAGTTCCCTCCCTCAGTTCCTTCCCTCAGTTCCTTCCTTCAGTTCCTTCCCTCAGTTCCCTCCCTCAGTTCCTTCCCTCAGTTCCCTCCCTCAGTTCCCTCTCTCAGTTCCTTCCCTCAGTTCCTTCCCTCAGTTCCTTCCCTCAGTTCCCTCCCTCAGTTCCCCTCCCTGAGTTCCTTCCCTCAGTTCCTTCCCTCAGTTCCTTCCCTCAGTTCCTTCCCTCAGTTCCCTCCCTCAGTTCCCTCCCTCAGTTCCGTCCCTCAGTTCCTTCCCTCAGTTCCTTCCCTCAATTCCCTCCCTCAGTTCCTTCCCTCAGTTCCTTCCCTCAGTTCTTTCCCTCAGTTCCTTCCCTCAGTTCCCTCCCTCAGTTCCGTCCCTCAGTTCCTTCCCTCAGTTCCTTCCCTCAGTTCCCTCCCTCAGTTCCCTCCCTCAGTTCCGTCCCTCAGTTCCTTCCCTCAGTTCCTTCCCTCAATTCCCTCCCTCAGTTCCTTCCCTCAGTTCCTTCCCTCAGTTCTTTCCCTCAGTTCCTTCCCTCAGTTCCTTCCCTCAGTTCCCTCCCTCAGTTCCCTCCCTCAGTTCCTTCCCTCAGTTCCTTCCCTCAGTTCCTTCCCTCAGTTCCTTCCCTCAGTTCCTTCCCTCAGTTCCTTCCCTCAGTTCCTTCCCTCAGTTCCTTCCCTCAGTTCCCTCCCTCAGTTCCCTCCCTCAGTTCCCTCCCTCAGTTCCTTCCCTCAGTTCCTTCCCTCAGTTCCTTCCCTCAGTTCCTTCCCTCAGTTCCTTCCCTCAGTTCTCTCCCTCAGTTCCCTCCCTCAGTTCCTTCCCTCAGTTCCTTCCCTCAGTTCCTTCCCTCAGTTCCTTCCCTCAGTTCCTTCCCTCAGTTCCTTCCCTCAGTTCCCTCCCTCAGTTCCCTCCCTCAGTTCCTTCCCTCAGTTCCTTCCCTCAGTTCCTTCCCTCAGTTCCTTCCCTCAGTTCCCTCCCTCAGTTCCCTCCCTCAGTTCCCTCCCTCAGTTCCTTCCCTCAGTTCCTTCCTTCAGTTCCTTCCCTCAGTTCCCTCCCTCAGTTCCTTCCCTCAGTTCCCTCCCTCAGTTCCCTCTCTCAGTTCCTTCCCTCAGTTCCTTCCCTCAGTTCCTTCCCTCAGTTCCCTCCCTCAGTTCCCCTCCCTGAGTTCCTTCCCTCAGTTCCTTCCCTCAGTTCCTTCCCTCAGTTCCTTCCCTCAGTTACCTCCCTCAGTTCCTTCCCTCAGTTCCTTCCCTCAGTTCCTTCCCTCAGTTCCTTCCCTCAGTTCTCTCCCTCAGTTCCCTCCCTCAGTTCCTTCCCTCAGTTCCTTCCCTCAGTTCCTTCCCTCAGTTCCTTCCCTCAGTTCCTTCCCTCAGTTCCTTCCTTTAGTTCCTTCCCTCAGTTCCCTCCCTCAGTTCCCTCCCTCAGTTCCCTCCCTCAGTTCCCTCCCTCAGTTCCTTCCCTCAGTTCCTTCCTTCAGTTCCTTCCCTCAGTTCCCTCCCTCAGTTCCTTCCCTCAGTTCCCTCCCTCAGTTCCCTCTCTCAGTTCCTTCCCTCAGTTCCTTCCCTCAGTTCCTTCCCTCAGTTCCCTCCCTCAGTTCCCCTCCCTGAGTTCCTTCCCTCAGTTCCTTCCCTCAGTTCCTTCCCTCAGTTCCTTCCCTCAGTTACCTCCCTCAGTTCCTTCCCTCAGTTCCTTCCCTCAGTTCCTTCCCTCAGTTCCTTCCCTCAGTTCCCTCCCTCAGTTCCCTCCCTCAGTTCCTTCCCTCAGTTCCTTCCCTCAGTTCCTTCCCTCAGTTCCCTCCCTCAGTTCCCTCCCTCAGTTCCTTCCCTCAGTTCCTTCCCTCAGTTCCTTCCCTCAGTTCCTTCCCTCAGTTCCTTCCCTCAGTTCCTTCCCTCAGTTCCTTCCCTCAGTTCCCTCCCTCAGTTCCCTCCCTCAGTTCCCTCCCTCAGTTCCTTCCCTCAGTTCCTTCCCTCAGTTACCTCCCTCAGTTCCTTCCCTCAGTTCCTTCCCTCAGTTCCTTCCCTCAGTTCCTTCCCTCAGTTCCCTCCCTCAGTTCCCTCCCTCAGTTCCTTCCCTCAGTTCCTTCCCTCAGTTCCTTCCCTCAGTTCCTTCCCTCAGTTCCTTCCCTCAGTTCCTTCCCTCAGTTCCTTCCCTCAGTTCCCTCCCTCAGTTCCTGCCCTCAGTTCCTTCCTTCAGTTCCTTCCCTCAGTTCCCTCCTTCAGTTCCTTCCCTCAGTTCCTTCCCTCAGTTCCTTCCTTCAGTTCCTTGCCTCAGTTCCTTCCCTCAGTTCCCTCCCTCAGTTCCCTCCCTCAGTTCCTTCCCTCAGTTCCTTCCCTCAGTACCTTCCCTCAGTTCCCTCCCTCAGTTCCCTCCCTCAGTTCCGTCCCTCAGTTCCTTCCCTCAGTTCCTTCCCTCAGTTCCCTCCCTCAGTTCCCTCCCTCAGTTCCGTCCCTCAGTTCCTTCCCTCAGTTCCTTCCCTCAATTCCCTCCCTCAGTTCCTTCCCTCAGTTCCTTCCCTCAGTTCTTTCCCTCAGTTCCTTCCCTCAGTTCCTTCCCTCAGTTCCCTCCCTCAGTTCCCTCCCTCAGTTCCTTCCCTCAGTTCCTTCCCTCAGTTCCTTCCCTCAGTTCCTTCCCTCAGTTCCTTCCCTCAGTTCCTTCCCTCAGTTCCTTCCCTCAGTTCCTTCCCTCAGTTCCCTCCCTCAGTTCCCTCCCTCAGTTCCCTCCCTCAGTTCCTTCCCTCAGTTCCTTCCCTCAGTTCCTTCCCTCAGTTCCTTCCCTCAGTTCCTTCCCTCAGTTCTCTCCCTCAGTTCCCTCCCTCAGTTCCTTCCCTCAGTTCCTTCCCTCAGTTCCTTCCCTCAGTTCCTTCCCTCAGTTCCTTCCCTCAGTTCCTTCCCTCAGTTCCCTCCCTCAGTTCCCTCCCTCAGTTCCTTCCCTCAGTTCCTTCCCTCAGTTCCTTCCCTCAGTTCCTTCCCTCAGTTCCCTCCCTCAGTTCCCTCCCTCAGTTCCCTCCCTCAGTTCCTTCCCTCAGTTCCTTCCTTCAGTTCCTTCCCTCAGTTCCCTCCCTCAGTTCCTTCCCTCAGTTCCCTCCCTCAGTTCCCTCTCTCAGTTCCTTCCCTCAGTTCCTTCCCTCAGTTCCTTCCCTCAGTTCCCTCCCTCAGTTCCCCTCCCTGAGTTCCTTCCCTCAGTTCCTTCCCTCAGTTCCTTCCCTCAGTTCCTTCCCTCAGTTCCCTCCCTCAGTTCCCTCCCTCAGTTCCGTCCCTCAGTTCCTTCCCTCAGTTCCTTCCCTCAATTCCCTCCCTCAGTTCCTTCCCTCAGTTCCTTCCCTCAGTTCTTTCCCTCAGTTCCTTCCCTCAGTTCCCTCCCTCAGTTCCGTCCCTCAGTTCCTTCCCTCAGTTCCTTCCCTCAGTTCCCTCCCTCAGTTCCCTCCCTCAGTTCCGTCCCTCAGTTCCTTCCCTCAGTTCCTTCCCTCAATTCCCTCCCTCAGTTCCTTCCCTCAGTTCCTTCCCTCAGTTCTTTCCCTCAGTTCCTTCCCTCAGTTCCTTCCCTCAGTTCCCTCCCTCAGTTCCCTCCCTCAGTTCCTTCCCTCAGTTCCTTCCCTCAGTTCCTTCCCTCAGTTCCTTCCCTCAGTTCCTTCCCTCAGTTCCTTCCCTCAGTTCCTTCCCTCAGTTCCTTCCCTCAGTTCCCTCCCTCAGTTCCCTCCCTCAGTTCCCTCCCTCAGTTCCTTCCCTCAGTTCCTTCCCTCAGTTCCTTCCCTCAGTTCCTTCCCTCAGTTCCTTCCCTCAGTTCTCTCCCTCAGTTCCCTCCCTCAGTTCCTTCCCTCAGTTCCTTCCCTCAGTTCCTTCCCTCAGTTCCTTCCCTCAGTTCCTTCCCTCAGTTCCCTCCCTCAGTTCCCTCCCTCAGTTCCTTCCCTCAGTTCCTTCCCTCAGTTCCTTCCCTCAGTTCCTTCCCTCAGTTCCCTCCCTCAGTTCCCTCCCTCAGTTCCCTCCCTCAGTTCCTTCCCTCAGTTCCTTCCCTCAGTTCCTTCCCTCAGTTCCTTCCCTCAGTTCCCTCCCTCAGTTCCCTCCCTCAGTTCCCTCCCTCAGTTCCCTCCCTCAGTTCCTTCCCTCAGTTCCTTCCCTCAGTTCCTTCCCTCAGTTCCTTCCCTCAGTTCCTTCCCTCAGTTCTCTCCCTCAGTTCCCTCCCTCAGTTCCTTCCCTCAGTTCCTTCCCTCAGTTCCTTCCCTCAGTTCCTTCCCTCAGTTCCTTCCCTCAGTTCCTTCCCTCAGTTCCTTCCCTCAGTTACCTCCCTCAGTTCCTTCCCTCAGTTCCTTCCCTCAGTTCCTTCCCTCAGTTCCTTCCCTCAGTTCTCTCCCTCAGTTCCCTCCCTCAGTTCCTTCCCTCAGTTCCTTCCCTCAGTTCCTTCCCTCAGTTCCTTCCCTCAGTTCCTTCCCTCAGTTCCTTCCTTTAGTTCCTTCCCTCAGTTCCCTCCCTCAGTTCCCTCCCTCAGTTCCCTCCCTCAGTTCCCTCCCTCAGTTCCTTCCCTCAGTTCCTTCCTTCAGTTCCTTCCCTCAGTTCCCTCCCTCAGTTCCTTCCCTCAGTTCCCTCCCTCAGTTCCCTCTCTCAGTTCCTTCCCTCAGTTCCTTCCCTCAGTTCCTTCCCTCAGTTCCCTCCCTCAGTTCCCCTCCCTGAGTTCCTTCCCTCAGTTCCTTCCCTCAGTTCCTTCCCTCAGTTCCTTCCCTCAGTTACCTCCCTCAGTTCCTTCCCTCAGTTCCTTCCCTCAGTTCCTTCCCTCAGTTCCTTCCCTCAGTTCCCTCCCTCAGTTCCCTCCCTCAGTTCCTTCCCTCAGTTCCTTCCCTCAGTTCCTTCCCTCAGTTCCCTCCCTCAGTTCCCTCCCTCAGTTCCTTCCCTCAGTTCCTTCCCTCAGTTCCTTCCCTCAGTTCCTTCCCTCAGTTCCTTCCCTCAGTTCCTTCCCTCAGTTCCTTCCCTCAGTTCCCTCCCTCAGTTCCCTCCCTCAGTTCCCTCCCTCAGTTCCTTCCCTCAGTTCCTTCCCTCAGTTCCCTCCCTCAGTTCCTTCCTTCAGTTCCTTCCCTCAGTTCCTTCCCTCAGTTCCTTCCCTCAGTTCCTTCCCTCAGTTCCCTCCCTCAGTTCCTTCCCTCAGTTCCTTCCTTCAGTACCCTCCCTCAGTTCCTTCCTTTAGTTCCTTCCCTCAGTTCCCTCCCTCAGTTCCCTCCCTCAGTTCCCTCCCTCAGTTCCCTCCCTCAGTTCCTTCCCTCAGTTCCTTCCTTCAGTTCCTTCCCTCAGTTCCCTCCCTCAGTTCCTTCCCTCAGTTCCCTCCCTCAGTTCCCTCTCTCAGTTCCTTCCCTCAGTTCCTTCCCTCAGTTCCTTCCCTCAGTTCCCTCCCTCAGTTCCCTCCCTCAGTTCCCTCCCTCAGTTCCTTCCCTCAGTTCCTTCCCTCAGTTCCTTCCCTCAGTTCCCTCCCTCAGTTCCCTCCCTCAGTTCCTTCCCTCAGTTCCTTCCCTCAGTTCCTTCCCTCAGTTCCTTCCCTCAGTTCCTTCCCTCAGTTCCTTCCCTCAGTTCCTTCCTCAGTTCCCTCCCTCAGTTCCCTCCCTCAGTTCCCTCCCTCAGTTCCTTCCCTCAGTTCCTTCCCTCAGTTCCCTCCCTCAGTTCCTTCCTTCAGTTCCTTCCCTCAGTTCCTTCCCTCAGTTCCTTCCCTCAGTTCCTTCCCTCAGTTCCCTCCCTCAGTTCCTTCCCTCAGTTCCTTCCTTCAGTACCCTCCCTCAGTTCCTTCCTTTAGTTCCTTCCCTCAGTTCCCTCCCTCAGTTCCCTCCCTCAGTTCCCTCCCTCAGTTCCCTCCCTCAGTTCCTTCCCTCAGTTCCTTCCTTCAGTTCCTTCCCTCAGTTCCCTCCCTCAGTTCCTTCTCTCAGTTCCCTCCCTCAGTTCCCTCTCTCAGTTCCTTCCCTCAGTTCCTTCCCTCAGTTCCTTCCCTCAGTTCCCTCCCTCAGTTCCCCTCCCTGAGTTCCTTCCCTCAGTTCCTTCCCTCAGTTCCTTCCCTCAGTTCCTTCCCTCAGTTCCCTCCCTCAGTTCCCTCCCTCAGTTCCGTCCCTCAGTTCCTTCCCTCAGTTCCTTCCCTCAATTCCCTCCCTCAGTTCCTTCCCTCAGTTCCTTCCCTCAGTTCTTTCCCTCAGTTCCTTCCCTCAGTTCCTTCCCTCAGTTCCCTCCCTCAGTTCCCTCCCTCAGTTCCTTCCCTCAGTTCCTTCCCTCAGTTCCTTCCCTCAGTTCCTTCCCTCAGTTCCTTCCCTCAGTTCCTTCCCTCAGTTCCTTCCCTCAGTTCCTTCCCTCAGTTCCCTCCCTCAGTTCCCTCCCTCAGTTCCCTCCCTCAGTTCCTTCCCTCAGTTCCTTCCCTCAGTTCCTTCCCTCAGTTCCTTCCCTCAGTTCCTTCCCTCAGTTCTCTCCCTCAGTTCCCTCCCTCAGTTCCTTCCCTCAGTTCCTTCCCTCAGTTCCTTCCCTCAGTTCCTTCCCTCAGTTCCTTCCCTCAGTTCCTTCCCTCAGTTCCCTCCCTCAGTTCCCTTCCCTCAGTTCCTTCCCTCAGTTCCTTCCCTCAGTTCCTTCCCTCAGTTCCTTCCCTCAGTTCCCTCCCTCAGTTCCCTCCCTCAGTTCCCTCCCTCAGTTCCTTCCCTCAGTTCCTTCCTTCAGTTCCTTCCCTCAGTTCCCTCCCTCAGTTCCTTCCCTCAGTTCCCTCCCTCAGTTCCCTCTCTCAGTTCCTTCCCTCAGTTCCTTCCCTCAGTTCCTTCCCTCAGTTCCCTCCCTCAGTTCCCCTCCCTGAGTTCCTTCCCTCAGTTCCTTCCCTCAGTTCCTTCCCTCAGTTCCTTCCCTCAGTTACCTCCCTCAGTTCCTTCCCTCAGTTCCTTCCCTCAGTTCCTTCCCTCAGTTCCTTCCCTCAGTTCTCTCCCTCAGTTCCCTCCCTCAGTTCCTTCCCTCAGTTCCTTCCCTCAGTTCCTTCCCTCAGTTCCTTCCCTCAGTTCCTTCCCTCAGTTCCTTCCTTTAGTTCCTTCCCTCAGTTCCCTCCCTCAGTTCCCTCCCTCAGTTCCCTCCCTCAGTTCCCTCCCTCAGTTCCTTCCCTCAGTTCCTTCCTTCAGTTCCTTCCCTCAGTTCCCTCCCTCAGTTCCTTCCCTCAGTTCCCTCCCTCAGTTCCCTCTCTCAGTTCCTTCCCTCAGTTCCTTCCCTCAGTTCCTTCCCTCAGTTCCCTCCCTCAGTTCCCCTCCCTGAGTTCCTTCCCTCAGTTCCTTCCCTCAGTTCCTTCCCTCAGTTCCTTCCCTCAGTTACCTCCCTCAGTTCCTTCCCTCAGTTCCTTCCCTCAGTTCCTTCCCTCAGTTCCTTCCCTCAGTTCCCTCCCTCAGTTCCCTCCCTCAGTTCCTTCCCTCAGTTCCTTCCCTCAGTTCCTTCCCTCAGTTCCCTCCCTCAGTTCCCTCCCTCAGTTCCTTCCCTCAGTTCCTTCCCTCAGTTCCTTCCCTCAGTTCCTTCCCTCAGTTCCTTCCCTCAGTTCCTTCCCTCAGTTCCTTCCCTCAGTCCCTCCTCAGTTCCCTCCCTCAGTTCCCTCCCTCAGTTCCTTCCCTCAGTTCCTTCCCTCAGTTCCCTCCCTCAGTTCCTTCCTTCAGTTCCTTCCCTCAGTTCCTTCCCTCAGTTCCTTCCCTCAGTTCCTTCCCTCAGTTCCCTCCCTCAGTTCCTTCCCTCAGTTCCTTCCTTCAGTACCCTCCCTCAGTTCCTTCCTTTAGTTCCTTCCCTCAGTTCCCTCCCTCAGTTCCCTCCCTCAGTTCCCTCCCTCAGTTCCCTCCCTCAGTTCCTTCCCTCAGTTCCTTCCTTCAGTTCCTTCCCTCAGTTCCCTCCCTCAGTTCCTTCCCTCAGTTCCCTCCCTCAGTTCCCTCTCTCAGTTCCTTCCCTCAGTTCCTTCCCTCAGTTCCTTCCCTCAGTTCCCTCCCTCAGTTCCCCTCCCTGAGTTCCTTCCCTCAGTTCCTTCCCTCAGTTCCTTCCCTCAGTTCCTTCCCTCAGTTACCTCCCTCAGTTCCTTCCCTCAGTTCCTTCCCTCAGTTCCTTCCCTCAGTTCCTTCCCTCAGTTCCCTCCCTCAGTTCCCTCCCTCAGTTCCTTCCCTCAGTTCCTTCCCTCAGTTCCTTCCCTCAGTTCCTTCCCTCAGTTCCTTCCCTCAGTTCCTTCCCTCAGTTCCCTCCCTCAGTTCCTTCCCTCAGTTCCTTCTCTCAGTTCCTTCCCTCAGTTCCTTCCCTCAGTTCCCCTCCCTGAGTTCCTTCCCTCAGTTCCTTCCCTCAGTTCCTTCCCTCAGTTCCTTCCCTCAGTTACCTCCCTCAGTTCCTTCCCTCAGTTCCTTCCCTCAGTTCCTTCCCTCAGTTCCCTCCCTCAGTTCCCTCCCTCAGTTCCCTCCCTCAGTTCCTTCCCTCAGTTCCTTCCCTCAGTTCCTTCCCTCAGTTCCTTCCCTCAGTTCCTTCCCTCAGTTCCTTCCCTCAGTTCCCTCCCTCAGTTCCTTCCCTCAGTTCCTTCTCTCAGTTCCTTCTCTCAGTTCCTTCCCTCAGTTCCTTCCCTCAGTTCCTTCCCTCAGTTCCCTCCCTCAGTTCCCCTCCCTGAGTTCCTTCCCTCAGTTCCTTCCCTCAGTTCCTTCCCTCAGTTCCTTCCCTCAGTTACCTCCCTCAGTTCCTTCCCTCAGTTCCTTCCCTCAGTTCCTTCCCTCAGTTCCTTCCCTCAGTTCCCTCCCTCAGTTCCCTCCCTCAGTTCCTTCCCTCAGTTCCTTCCCTCAGTTCCTTCCCTCAGTTCCTTCCCTCAGTTCCTTCCCTCAGTTCCTTCCCTCAGTTCCCTCCCTCAGTTCCTTCCCTCAGTTCCTTCTCTCAGTTCCTTCCCTCAGTTCCTTCCCTCAGTTCCCTCCCTCAGTTCCCTCCCTCAGTTCCCTCCCTCAGTTCCTTCCCTCAGTTCCTTCCCTCAGTTCCTTCCCTCAGTTCCTTCCCTCAGTTCCTTCCCTCAGTTCTCTCCCTCAGTTCCCTCCCTCAGTTCCTTCCCTCAGTTCCTTCCCTCAGTTCCTTCCCTCAGTTCCTTCCCTCAGTTCCTTCCCTCAGTTCCTTCCCTCAGTTCCCTCCCTCAGTTCCCTCCCTCAGTTCCTTCCCTCAGTTCCTTCCCTCAGTTCCTTCCCTCAGTTCCCTCCCTCAGTTCGTTCCCTCAGTTCCTTCCCTCAGTTCCCTCCCTCAGTTCCTTCCCTCAGTTCCTTCCCTCAGTTCCTTCCCTCAGTTCCCTCCCTCAGTTCCCTCCCTCAGTTCCGTCCCTCAGTTCCTTCCCTCAGTTCCTTCCCTCAGTTCCCTCCCTCAGTTCCCTCCCTCAGTTCCGTCCCTCAGTTCCTTCCCTCAGTTCCTTCCCTCAATTCCCTCCCTCAGTTCCTTCCCTCAGTTCCTTCCCTCAGTTCTTTCCCTCAGTTCCTTCCCTCAGTTCCTTCCCTCAGTTCCCTCCCTCAGTTCCCTCCCTCAGTTCCTTCCCTCAGTTCCTTCCCTCAGTTCCTTCCCTCAGTTCCTTCCCTCAGTTCCTTCCCTCAGTTCCTTCCCTCAGTTCCTTCCCTCAGTTCCCTCCCTCAGTTCCCTCCCTCAGTTCCCTCCCTCAGTTCCTTCCCTCAGTTCCTTCCCTCAGTTCCTTCCCTCAGTTCCTTCCCTCAGTTCCTTCCCTCAGTTCTCTCCCTCAGTTCCCTCCCTCAGTTCCTTCCCTCAGTTCCTTCCCTCAGTTCCTTCCCTCAGTTCCTTCCCTCAGTTCCTTCCCTCAGTTCCTTCCCTCAGTTCCCTCCCTCAGTTCCCTCCCTCAGTTCCTTCCCTCAGTTCCTTCCCTCAGTTCCTTCCCTCAGTTCCTTCCCTCAGTTCCTTCCCTCAGTTCCCTCCCTCAGTTCCCTCCCTCAGTTCCCTCCCTCAGTTCCTTCCCTCAGTTCCTTCCCTCAGTTCCTTCCCTCAGTTCCTTCCCTCAGTTCCTTCCCTCAGTTCTCTCCCTCAGTTCCCTCCCTCAGTTCCTTCCCTCAGTTCCTTCCCTCAGTTCCTTCCCTCAGTTCCTTCCCTCAGTTCCTTCCCTCAGTTCCTTCCCTCAGTTCCCTCCCTCAGTTCCCTCCCTCAGTTCCTTCCCTCAGTTCCTTCCCTCAGTTCCCTCCCTCAGTTCGTTCCCTCAGTTCCTTCCCTCAGTTCCCTCCCTCAGTTCCTTCCCTCAGTTCCTTCCCTCAGTTCCTTCCCTCAGTTCCCTCCCTCAGTTCCCTCCCTCAGTTCCGTCCCTCAGTTCCTTCCCTCAGTTCCCTCCCTCAGTTCCCTCCCTCAGTTCCGTCCCTCAGTTCCTTCCCTCAGTTCCTTCCCTCAATTCCCTCCCTCAGTTCCTTCCCTCAGTTCCTTCCCTCAGTTCTTTCCCTCAGTTCCTTCCCTCAGTTCCTTCCCTCAGTTCCCTCCCTCAGTTCCCTCCCTCAGTTCCTTCCCTCAGTTCCTTCCCTCAGTTCCTTCCCTCAGTTCCTTCCCTCAGTTCCTTCCCTCAGTTCCTTCCCTCAGTTCCTTCCCTCAGTTCCCTCCCTCAGTTCCCTCCCTCAGTTCCCTCCCTCAGTTCCTTCCCTCAGTTCCTTCCCTCAGTTCCTTCCCTCAGTTCCTTCCCTCAGTTCCTTCCCTCAGTTCTCTCCCTCAGTTCCCTCCCTCAGTTCCTTCCCTCAGTTCCTTCCCTCAGTTCCTTCCCTCAGTTCCTTCCCTCAGTTCCTTCCCTCAGTTCCTTCCCTCAGTTCCCTCCCTCAGTTCCCTCCCTCAGTTCCTTCCCTCAGTTCCTTCCCTCAGTTCCTTCCCTCAGTTCCTTCCCTCAGTTCCCTCCCTCAGTTCCCTCCCTCAGTTCCCTCCCTCAGTTCCTTCCCTCAGTTCCTTCCTTCAGTTCCTTCCCTCAGTTCCCTCCCTCAGTTCCTTCCCTCAGTTCCCTCCCTCAGTTCCCTCTCTCAGTTCCTTCCCTCAGTTCCTTCCCTCAGTTCCTTCCCTCAGTTCCTTCCCTCAGTTCCTTCCCTCAGTTCCTTCCCTCAGTTACCTCCCTCAGTTCCTTCCCTCAGTTCCTTCCCTCAGTTCCTTCCCTCAGTTCCTTCCCTCAGTTCTCTCCCTCAGTTCCCTCCCTCAGTTCCTTCCCTCAGTTCCTTCCCTCAGTTCCTTCCCTCAGTTCCTTCCCTCAGTTCCTTCCCTCAGTTCCTTCCTTTAGTTCCTTCCCTCAGTTCCCTCCCTCAGTTCCCTCCCTCAGTTCCCTCCCTCAGTTCCCTCCCTCAGTTCCTTCCCTCAGTTCCTTCCTTCAGTTCCTTCCCTCAGTTCCCTCCCTCAGTTCCTTCCCTCAGTTCCCTCCCTCAGTTCCCTCTCTCAGTTCCTTCCCTCAGTTCCTTCCCTCAGTTCCTTCCCTCAGTTCCCTCCCTCAGTTCCCCTCCCTGAGTTCCTTCCCTCGGTTCCTTCCCTCAGTTCCTTCCCTCAGTTCCTTCCCTCAGTTCTCTCCCTCAGTTCCCTCCCTCAGTTCCTTCCCTCAGTTCCTTCCCTCAGTTCCCTCCCTCAGTTCCCTCCCTCAGTTCCTTCCCTCAGTTCCTTCCCTCAGTTCCTTCCCTCAGTTCCTTCCCTCAGTTCCTTCCCTCAGTTCCTTCCCTCAGTTCAATCCCTCAGTTCCTTCCCTCAGTTCCCTCCCTCAGTTCCCTCCCTCAGTTCCCTCCCTCAGTTCCTTCCCTCAGTTCCTTCCCTCAGTTCCTTCCCTCAGTTCCTTCCCTCAGTTCCTTCCCTCAGTTCTCTCCCTCAGTTCCCTCCCTCAGTTCCTTCCCTCAGTTCCTTCCCTCAGTTCCTTCCCTCAGTTCCTTCCCTCAGTTCCTTCCCTCAGTTCCTTCCCTCAGTTCCCTCCCTCAGTTCCCTCCCTCAGTTCCTTCCCTCAGTTCCTTCCCTCAGTTCCTTCCCTCAGTTCCTTCCCTCAGTTCCTTCCCTCAGTTCCCTCCCTCAGTTCCCTCCCTCAGTTCCCTCCCTCAGTTCCTTCCCTCAGTTCCTTCCCTCAGTTCCTTCCCTCAGTTCCTTCCCTCAGTTCCTTCCCTCAGTTCTCTCCCTCAGTTCCCTCCCTCAGTTCCTTCCCTCAGTTCCTTCCCTCAGTTCCTTCCCTCAGTTCCTTCCCTCAGTTCCCTCCCTCAGTTCCCTCCCTCAGTTCCTTCCCTCAGTTCCTTCCCTAAGTTCCTTCCCTCAGTTCCCTCCCTCAGTTCGTTCCCTCAGTTCCTTCCCTCAGTTCCCTCCCTCAGTTCCTTCCCTCAGTTCCTTCCCTCAGTTCCTTCCCTCAGTTCCCTCCCTCAGTTCCCTCCCTCAGTTCCGTCCCTCAGTTCCTTCCCTCAGTTCCTTCCCTCAGTTCCCTCCCTCAGTTCCCTCCCTCAGTTCCGTCCCTCAGTTCCTTCCCTCAGTTCCTTCCCTCAATTCCCTCCCTCAGTTCCTTCCCTCAGTTCCTTCCCTCAGTTCTTTCCCTCAGTTCCTTCCCTCAGTTCCTTCCCTCAGTTCCCTCCCTCAGTTCCCTCCCTCAGTTCCTTCCCTCAGTTCCTTCCCTCAGTTCCTTCCCTCAGTTCCTTCCCTCAGTTCCTTCCCTCAGTTCCTTCCCTCAGTTCCTTCCCTCAGTTCCTTCCCTCAGTTCCCTCCCTCAGTTCCCTCCCTCAGTTCCCTCCCTCAGTTCCTTCCCTCAGTTCCTTCCCTCAGTTCCTTCCCTCAGTTCCTTCCCTCAGTTCCTTCCCTCAGTTCTCTCCCTCAGTTCCCTCCCTCAGTTCCTTCCCTCAGTTCCTTCCCTCAGTTCCTTCCCTCAGTTCCTTCCCTCAGTTCCTTCCCTCAGTTCCTTCCCTCAGTTCCCTCCCTCAGTTCCCTCCCTCAGTTCCTTCCCTCAGTTCCTTCCCTCAGTTCCTTCCCTCAGTTCCTTCCCTCAGTTCCCTCCCTCAGTTCCCTCCCTCAGTTCCCTCCCTCAGTTCCTTCCCTCAGTTCCTTCCTTCAGTTCCTTCCCTCAGTTCCCTCCCTCAGTTCCTTCCCTCAGTTCCCTCTCTCAGTTCCCTCTCTCAGTTCCTTCCCTCAGTTCCTTCCCTCAGTTCCTTCCCTCAGTTCCCTCCCTCAGTTCCCCTCCCTGAGTTCCTTCCCTCAGTTCCTTCCCTCAGTTCCTTCCCTCAGTTCCTTCCCTCAGTTCCTTCCCTCAGTTCCTTCCCTCAGTTCCCTCCCTCAGTTCCCTCCCTCAGTTCCTTCCCTCAGTTCCTTCCCTCAGTTCCTTCCCTCAGTTCCTTCCCTCAGTTCCTTCCCTCAGTTCCTTCCCTCAGTTCCTTCCCTCAGTTCCCTCCCTCAGTTCCTTCCCTCAGTTCCTTCCCTCAGTTCCCTCCCTCAGTTCCCTCTCTCAGTTCCTTCCCTCAGTTCCTTCCCTCAGTTCCTTCCCTCAGTTCCCTCCCTCAGTTCCCCTCCCTGAGTTCCTTCCCTCAGTTCCTTCCCTCAGTTCCTTCCCTCAGTTCCTTCCCTCAGTTACCTCCCTCAGTTCCTTCCCTCAGTTCCTTCCCTCAGTTCCTTCCCTCAGTTCCTTCCCTCGGTTCCCTCCCTCAGTTCCCTCCCTCAGTTCCTTCCCTCAGTTCCTTCCCTCAGTTCCTTCCCTCAGTTCCTTCCCTCAGTTCCTTCCCTCAGTTCCTTCCCTCAGTTCCTTCCCTCAGTTCCCTCCCTCAGTTCCCTCCCTCAGTTCCTTCCCTCAGTTCCTTCCCTCAGTTCCTTCCCTCAGTTCCCTCCTTCAGTTCCTTCCCTCAGTTCCTTCCCTCAGTTCCTTCCTTCAGTTCCTTGCCTCAGTTCCTTCCCTCAGTTCCCTCCCTCAGTTCCCTCCCTCAGTTCCTTCCCTCAGTTCCTTCCCTCAGTTCCTTCCCTCAGTTCCCTCCCTCAGTTCCCTCCCTCAGTTCCGTCCCTCAGTTCCTTCCCTCAGTTCCTTCCCTCAGTTCCCTCCCTCAGTTCCCTCCCTCAGTTCCGTCCCTCAGTTCCTTCCCTCAGTTCCTTCCCTCAATTCCCTCCCTCAGTTCCTTCCCTCAGTTCCTTCCCTCAGTTCTTTCCCTCAGTTCCTTCCCTCAGTTCCTTCCCTCAGTTCCCTCCCTCAGTTCCCTCCCTCAGTTCCTTCCCTCAGTTCCTTCCCTCAGTTCCTTCCCTCAGTTCCTTCCCTCAGTTCCTTCCCTCAGTTCCTTCCCTCAGTTCCTTCCCTCAGTTCCCTCCCTCAGTTCCCTCCCTCAGTTCCCTCCCTCAGTTCCTTCCCTCAGTTCCTTCCTTCAGTTCCTTCCCTCAGTTCCCTCCCTCAGTTCCTTCCCTCAATTCCCTCCCTCAGTTCCTTCCCTCAGTTCCTTCCCTCAGTTCCTTCCCTCAGTTCCTTCCCTCAGTTCCTTCCCTCAGTTCCCTCCCTCAGTTCCCTCCCTCAGTTCCTTCCCTCAGTTCCTTCCCTCAGTTCCTTCCCTCAGTTCCTTCCCTCAGTTCCTTCCCTCAGTTCCTTCCCTCAGTTCCTTCCCTCAGTTCCTTCCCTCAGTTCCCTCCCTCAGTTCCCTCCCTCAGTTCCCTCCCTCAGTTCCTTCCCTCAGTTCCTTCCTTCAGTTCCTTCCCTCAGTTCCCTCTCTCAGTTCCTTCCCTCAGTTCCTTCCCTCAGTTCCTTCCCTCAGTTCCCTCCCTCAGTTCCCCTCCCTGAGTTCCTTCCCTCAGTTCCTTCCCTCAGTTCCTTCCCTCAGTTCCTTCCCTCAGTTACCTCCCTCAGTTCCTTCCCTCAGTTCCTTCCCTCAGTTCCTTCCCTCAGTTCCTTCCCTCAGTTCCCTCCCTCAGTTCCCTCCCTCAGTTCCTTCCCTCAGTTCTTTCCCTCAGTTCCTTCCCTCAGTTCCTTCCCTCAGTTCCTTCCCTCAGTTCCTTCCCTCAGTTCCCTCCCTCAGTTCCCTCCCTCAGTTCCCTCCCTCAGTTCCTTCCCTCAGTTCCTTCCCTCAGTTCCCTCCCTCAGTTCCTTCCTTCAGTTCCTTCCCTCAGTTCCTTCCCTCAGTTCCTTCCCTCAGTTCCTTCCCTCAGTTCCCTCCCTCAGTTCCTTCCCTCAGTTCCTTCCTTCAGTACCCTCCCTCAGTTCCTTCCTTTAGTTCCTTCCCTCAGTTCCCTCCCTCAGTTCCCTCCCTCAGTTCCCTCCCTCAGTTCCCTCCCTCAGTTCCTTCCCTCAGTTCCTTCCTTCAGTTCCTTCCCTCAGTTCCCTCCCTCAGTTCCTTCCCTCAGTTCCCTCCCTCAGTTCCCTCTCTCAGTTCCTTCCCTCAGTTCCTTCCCTCAGTTCCTTCCCTCAGTTCCCTCCCTCAGTTCCCCTCCCTGAGTTCCTTCCCTCAGTTCCTTCCCTCAGTTCCTTCCCTCAGTTCCTTCCCTCAGTTACCTCCCTCAGTTCCTTCCCTCAGTTCCTTCCCTCAGTTCCTTCCCTCAGTTCCTTCCCTCAGTTCCCTCCCTCAGTTCCCTCCCTCAGTTCCTTCCCTCAGTTCCTTCCCTCAGTTCCTTCCCTCAGTTCCTTCCCTCAGTTCCTTCCCTCAGTTCCTTCCCTCAGTTCCCTCCCTCAGTTCCCTCCCTCAGTTCCCTCCCTCAGTTCCCTCCCTCAGTTCCTTCCCTCAGTTCCTTCCTTCAGTTCCTTCCCTCAGTTCCCTCCCTCAGTTCCTTCCCTCAGTTCCCTCCCTCAGTTCCCTCTCTCAGTTCCTTCCCTCAGTTCCTTCCCTCAGTTCCTTCCCTCAGTTCCCTCCCTCAGTTCCCCTCCCTGAGTTCCTTCCCTGAGTTCCTTCCCTCAGTTCCTTCCCTCAGTTCCTTCCCTCAGTTACCTCCCTCAGTTCCTTCCCTCAGTTCCTTCCCTCAGTTCCTTCCCTCAGTTCCTTCCCTCAGTTCCCTCCCTCAGTTCCCTCCCTCAGTTCCTTCCCTCAGTTCCTTCCCTCAGTTCCTTCCCTCAGTTCCTTCCCTCAGTTCCTTCCCTCAGTTCCTTCCCTCAGTTCCCTCCCTCAGTTCCCTCCCTCAGTTCCCTCCCTCAGTTCCTTCCCTCAGTTCCTTCCCTCAGTTCCCTCCCTCAGTTCCTTCCTTCAGTTCCTTCCCTCAGTTCCTTCCCTCAGTTCCTTCCCTCAGTTCCTTCCCTCAGTTCCCTCCCTCAGTTCCTTCCCTCAGTTCCTTCCATCAGTACCCTCCCTCAGTTCCTTCCTTTAGTTCCTTCCCTCAGTTCCTTCCCTCAGTTCCCTCCCTCAGTTCCCTCCCTCAGTTCCTTCCCTCAGTTACTTCCTTCAGTTCCTTCCCTCAGTTCCCTCCCTCAGTTCCTTCCCTCAGTTCCTTCCCTCAGTTCCCTCCCTCAGTTCCCTCCCTCAGTTCCGTCCCTCAGTTCCTTCCCTCAGTTCCTTCCCTCAATTCCCTCCCTCAGTTCCTTCCCTCAGTTCCTTCCCTCAGTTCCTTCCCTCAGTTCCTTCCCTCAGTTCCCTCCCTCAGTTCCCTCCCTCAGTTCCTCCCTCAGTTCCTTCCCTCAGTTCCTTCCCTCAGTTCCTTCCCTCAGTTCCTTCCCTCAGTTCCTTCCCTCAGTTCCTTCCCTCAGTTCCTTCCCTCAGTTCCTTCCCTCAGTTCCCTCCCTCAGTTCCCTCCCTCAGTTCCCTCCCTCAGTTCCCTCCCTCAGTTCCTTCCCTCAGTTCCTTCCTTCAGTTCCTTCCCTCAGTTCCCTCCCTCAGTTCCTTCCCTCAGTTCCCTCCCTCAGTTCCCTCCCTCAGTTCCCTCCCTCAGTTCCTTCCCTCAGTTCCTTCCCTCAGTTCCTTCCCTCAGTTCCCTCCCTCAGTTCCCCTCCCTCAGTTCCTTCCCTCAGTTCCTTCCCTCAGTTCCTTCCCTCAGTTCCTTCCCTCAGTTCCCTCCCTCAGTTCCTTCCCTCAGTTCCTTCCCTCAGTTCCTTCCCTCAGTTCCTTCCCTCAGTTCCTTCCCTCAGTTCCTTCCCTCAGTTCCCTCCCTCAGTTCCCTCCCTCAGTTCCCTCCCTCAGTTCCTTCCCTCAGTTCCTTCCCTCAGTTCCCTCCCTCAGTTCCTTCCTTCAGTTCCTTCCCTCAGTTCCTTCCCTCAGTTCCTTCCCTCAGTTCCTTCCCTCAGTTCCCTCCCTCAGTTCCTTCCCTCAGTTCCTTCCTTCAGTACCCTCCCTCAGTTCCTTCCTTTAGTTCCTTCCCTCAGTTCCTTCCCTCAGTTCCCTCCCTCAGTTCCCTCCCTCAGTTCCTTCCCTCAGTTCCTTCCCTCAGTTCCTTCCCTCAGTTCCTTCCCTCAGTTCCTTCCCTCAGTTCCTTCCCTCAGTTCCCTCCCTCAGTTCCTTCCTTCAGTTCCTTCCCTCAGTTCCTTCCCTCAGTTCCTTCCCTCAGTTCCTTCCCTCAGTTCCCTCCCTCAGTTCCTTCCCTCAGTTCCTTCCTTCAGTACCCTCCCTCAGTTCCTTCCTTTAGTTCCTTCCCTCAGTTCCCTCCCTCAGTTCCCTCCCTCAGTTCCCTCCCTCAGTTCCTTCCCTCAGTTCCTTCCTTCAGTTCCTTCCCTCAGTTCCCTTCCTCAGTTCCTTCCCTCAGTTCCCTCCCTCAGTTCCCTCTCTCAGTTCCTTCCCTCAGTTCCTTCCCTCAGTTCCTTCCCTCAGTTCCCTCCCTCAGTTCCCCTCCCTGAGTTCCTTCCCTCAGTTCCTTCCCTCAGTTCCTTCCCTCAGTTCCTTCCCTCAGTTACCTCCCTCAGTTCCTTCCCTCAGTTCCTTCCCTCAGTTCCTTCCCTCAGTTCCTTCCCTCAGTTCCCTCCCTCAGTTCCCTCCCTCAGTTCCTTCCCTCAGTTCCTTCCCTCAGTTCCTTCCCTCAGTTCCTTCCCTCAGTTCCTTCCCTCAGTTCCTTCCCTCAGTTCCTTCCCTCAGTTCCCTCCCTCAGTTCCCTCCCTCAGTTCCCTCCCTCAGTTCCCTCCCTCAGTTCCTTCCCTCAGTTCCTTCCTTCAGTTCCTTCCCTCAGTTCCCTCCCTCAGTTCCTTCCCTCAGTTCCCTCCCTCAGTTCCCTCTCTCAGTTCCTTCCCTCAGTTCCTTCCCTCAGTTCCTTCCCTCAGTTCCCTCCCTCAGTTCCCCTCCCTGAGTTCCTTCCCTCAGTTCCTTCCCTCAGTTCCTTCCCTCAGTTCCTTCCCTCAGTTACCTCCCTCAGTTCCTTCCCTCAGTTCCTTCCCTCAGTTCCTTCCCTCAGTTCCTTCCCTCAGTTCCCTCCCTCAGTTCCCTCCCTCAGTTCCTTCCCTCAGTTCCTTCCCTCAGTTCCTTCCCTCAGTTCCTTCCCTCAGTTCCTTCCCTCAGTTCCTTCCCTCAGTTCCCTCCCTCAGTTCCCTCCCTCAGTTCCCTCCCTCAGTTCCTTCCCTCAGTTCCTTCCCTCAGTTCCCTCCCTCAGTTCCTTCCTTCAGTTCCTTCCCTCAGTTCCTTCCCTCAGTTCCTTCCCTCAGTTCCTTCCCTCAGTTCCCTCCCTCAGTTCCTTCCCTCAGTTCCTTCCTTCAGTACCCTCCCTCAGTTCCTTCCTTTAGTTCCTTCCCTCAGTTCCTTCCCTCAGTTCCCTCCCTCAGTTCCCTCCCTCAGTTCCTTCCCTCAGTTCCTTCCTTCAGTTCCTTCCCTCAGTTCCCTCCCTCAGTTCCTTCCCTCAGTTCCTTCCCTCAGTTCCCTCCCTCAGTTCCCTCCCTCAGTTCCGTCCCTCAGTTCCTTCCCTCAGTTCCTTCCCTCAATTCCCTCCCTCAGTTCCTTCCCTCAGTTCCTTCCCTCAGTTCCTTCCCTCAGTTCCTTCCCTCAGTTCCCTCCCTCAGTTCCCTCCCTCAGTTCCTTCCCTCAGTTCCTTCCCTCAGTTCCTTCCCTCAGTTCCTTCCCTCAGTTCCTTCCCTCAGTTCCTTCCCTCAGTTCCTTCCCTCAGTTCCTTCCCTCAGTTCCCTCCCTCAGTTCCCTCCCTCAGTTCCCTCCCTCAGTTCCCTCCCTCAGTTCCTTCCCTCAGTTCCTTCCTTCAGTTCCTTCCCTCAGTTCCCTCCCTCAGTTCCTTCCCTCAGTTCCCTCCCTCAGTTCCCTCCCTCAGTTCCCTCCCTCAGTTCCTTCCCTCAGTTCCTTCCTTCAGTTCCTTCCCTCAGTTCCCTCCCTCAGTTCCTTCCCTCAGTTCCCTCCCTCAGTTCCCTCCCTCAGTTCCCTCCCTCAGTTCCCTCCCTCAGTTCCCTCCCTCAGTTCCTTCCCTCAGTTCCTTCCCTCAGTTCCCTCCCTCAGTTCCTTCCTTCAGTTCCTTCCCTCAGTTCCTTCCCTCAGTTCCTTCCCTCAGTTCCTTCCCTCAGTTCCCTCCCTCAGTTCCTTCCCTCAGTTCCTTCCTTCAGTACCCTCCCTCAGTTCCTTCCTTTAGTTCCTTCCCTCAGTTCCTTCCCTCAGTTCCCTCCCTCAGTTCCCCTCCCTCAGTTCCTTCCCTCAGTTCCTTCCCTCAGTTCCTTCCCTCAGTTCCTTCCCTCAGTTACCTCCCTCAGTTCCTTCCCTCAGTTCTTTCCCTCAGTTCCTTCCCTCAGTTCCTTCCCTCAGTTCCCTCCCTCAGTTCCCTCCCTCAGTTCCTTCCCTCAGTTCCTTCCCTCAGTTCCTTCCCTCAGTTCCTTCCCTCAGTTCCTTCCCTCAGTTCCTTCCCTCAGTTCCCTCCCTCAGTTCCCTCCCTCAGTTCCCTCCCTCAGTTCCTTCCCTCAGTTCCTTCCCTCAGTTCCCTCCCTCAGTTCCTTCCTTCAGTTCCTTCCCTCAGTTCCTTCCCTCAGTTCCTTCCCTCAGTTCCTTCCCTCAGTTCCCTCCCTCAGTTCCTTCCCTCAGTTCCTTCCTTCAGTACCCTCCCTCAGTTCCTTCCTTTAGTTCCTTCCCTCAGTTCCTTCCCTCAGTTCCCTCCCTCAGTTCCCTCCCTCAGTTCCTTCCCTCAGTTCCTTCCCTCAGTTCCTTCCCTCAGTTCCTTCCCTCAGTTCCTTCCCTCAGTTCCTTCCCTCAGTTCCTTCCCTCAGTTCCCTCCCTCGGTTCCCTCCCTCAGTTCCTTCCCTCAGTTCCTTCCCTCAGTTCCCTCCCTCAGTTCCTTCCCTCAGTTCCCTCCCTCAGTTCCCTCCCTCAGTTCCTTCCCTCAGTTCCTTCCCTCAGTTCCTTCCCTCAGTTCTTTCCCTCAGTTCCTTCCCTCAGTTCCTTCCCTCAGTTCCTTCCCTCAGTTCCCTCCCTCAGTTCCCTCCCTCAGTTCCCTCCCTCAGTTCCCTCCCTCAGTTCCTTCCCTCAGTTCCCTCCCTCAGTTCCCTCCCTCAGTTCCCTCCCTCAGTTCCTTCCCTCAGTTCCTTCCCTCAGTTCCTGCCCTCAGTTCCTTCCCTCAGTTCCTTCCCTCAGTTCCTTCCCTCAGTTCCTTCCCTCAGTTCCCTCCCTCAGTTCCCTCCCTCAGTTCCTTCCCTCAGTTCCCTCCCTCAGTTCCCTCCCTCAGTTCCCTCCCTCAGTTCCTTCCTTCAGTTCCCTCCCTCAGTTCCTTCCCTCAGTTCCTTCCCTCAGTTCCTTCCCTCAGTTCCTTCCCTCAGTTCCTTCCCTCAGTTCCTTCCCTCAGTTCCTTCCCTCAGTCCCTCCTCAGTTCCCTCCCTCAGTTCCCTCCCTCAGTTCCCTCCCTCAGTTCCTTCCCTCAGTTCCTTCCCTCAGTTCCTTCCCTCAGTTCCTTCCCTCAGTTCCTTCCCTCAGTTCCCTCCCTCAGTTCCCTCCCTCAGCTCCTTCCCTCAGTTCCTTCCCTCAGTTCCTTCCCTCAGTTCCTTCCCTCAGTTCCTTCCCTCAGTTCCTTCCCTCAGTTCCTTCCAGGGGTTTTTTTCTCGCCCCCCTTTGTATCCCCCCTCTGTCTCCTCTGATTCCTCCCTCTCTTTCCTCCCTCTGTCGCCTCTCACTCTGTTTTCCTCCCTCTGTATCCTCCCCCTATAACCTCACTCTCTGTTTTCCTACCTCTGTATCCTCCCTCTTTAACCTCTCTCCCTTCCTTCCTCTGTATCTTCCCTCTGGTACCTCTCCCTCTGGTTTCCTACCTCTGTACCCTCTGTCGTCTCTCTCCGTTTCCTCCCTAAGAGTCCTCCTTCTTGCACCTCTCTCTCTGTTTTCCTGCCTCTGTCTCCTTCTGTCGTCCCTCACTGTTTTTCTCCCTCTGTCACCTCTTTCTGTCCCATTAGAGCAGGACACTCATGTTCGGTGGCACATGATGGGCCCTATAGTGTTGATGCCACCTGTGCCATGCTGTGTGCTGTGCCGTACTCTGTGCTGTGCCATGCTCTGCTGTGCCATGCGCTGTGCTGCTCCATGCAGTGTGCTGTGCCATGCTTTGTGCTGTGCTGTGCCATGCAGTGTGCTGTGCCATGCTTTGCGCTGTGGAAGGGAGCAAGATGGCAAATTGTCATTCGAGCATATTATATATATGAACATTGCCCTTCCCTGTAGCTAATGATGCTTCTATGGAATGATCAGATGGTTACCAAAATCCGTTACATTGGTTGTGATGTGAAGTGATAGCAACATCATGCAAACCATGATATTTTATTTCATAATTTGCATCCATTCAGAACTCGATGATATTTGATGCCTGACAATGGAATTTCCCAGAGGACACCTAACGACAAGTAACACACCCATCAAGTAGTTTGTGTAGATGAAATAGTAATTTTGCAGTCCTTTTTTCTATATAGAAAATGAACCTCAGAGATGTTCTAACGTGGCGTAGCTCGTTATGTTGAGGATGGCCTGAAGTATGTGTCAGAAACCAATTCATTTGGTCGAATCAGCGACGACTAACGAGAGCTGATCCAGCGATCTATTTTGCCCAATCAGCTGTATGCACTCGCTATCTGCAGATCGCTATCAGAGAGGTAACGGAGGGCAAGCCAAGGCAACCGCAAATCTCAACCGCAGCCATGGTTCACCATCCACGGCTAACGTTTGCTTTGCTCTCATTAGCTGAAACCACATCTTCAAATTCAAACGGTTGGGCTTGCCGCGTTTCAGACTGACGCCTTGGCAGTGGCTTAGATGACATGGCATTCGAAGCTCCGTCTGTAGGTCACGACGAACCCAAACGTTCACCTGAGAAATCCCTCAACTCCCGCCTTTGCCAACGGAAACGTCGCTGAAAAACGACAGTGCCGTTGGACCTGCATAGCCGCTTAGGTGACAAGGCGACACGCGAACAGAAAACAGTCGGCGATTTTTCGTTTCCCTTCCCTGACCGCCAGATTCACGTGCCACGTGAACCATTTCCAACCAGCCACGGAGCCTATTCTCGAATCTCCCTGTCATGGGCAAAACTTGAACCTGACCGGACCGACCATTCCCAGATTCAACACAACCAATCATCATTGAGGGTTTTCCTTCACCGCTGGTTGTATGGTTCCTGTAGGCACAACGAGAAATCCGAACCTACGGCTGCGATCTGAACTAGGAGAAATCGTTCCCAAGCCTGATTGATTCCGGACGGTAGATTTCGTGGGGTGAGAACCCAAGAGCGTTGGTTGGGATGCGAGGGAAGGAGAGTCGCGGCATTCCGCAATCCCTCCGCCTCATTCCAACGTCATTCTCGCCTGAGCCTCGCATTTCACAGCGTTTTCGCCTCTTGCGCTCCCATTTTTCACCCCTAGCTTCTTCTGCTCACATGCTCGTTTCTTAGAGCTTAGCATCTAGAGCTCTGCTTGTGAAGCTCAGCGTTTGGAGCTAACATTTCTCAACATATAGAGCTCAGGCTTACGTTTACTGATACGATTTCTCAACGTCAACGCCTTTGGCTGCGTCCGGCTGTATCGTAGGAGCTTCGTTTTCGGGGAAAAGGGAGCGGAAAGTCGCGTAATCTAGCATGGAAACTCGGCATATTTTGCGCAGATGGATTTTCCACTCAGGTAATACTGAGCGCTTCTGCTTATATTTCGCGCACTGAGTTTCATTCTGGTGCAATTCGCTAAGTTAGAACACGGAAGCGACACGCGATGTATTCTGACGTGACGTCCATCCTCGGCACGTGACAGGATCGATGTGGACGGGACATGTAACTTCAATTGGCCGTACGCAAATTTCGAGAGCGACGCGTGACGCTCTCTACTCAGGTGCTTGTTAGCGCATCCGTTCAATTTATTAGCGCATCCGCTTTTATTGCCAAGTGTAGTTCGATTTTCCGGAACTATCCTTCCAAATTCGACATGCAATTATTTCTGACATGACGTCTGCATGTGCCAGGTTTATTGTGGTGGCGAGGCGACATCTCACCGATCAGGCTGTACGCGATTTTGGAGAGCCACGGATTTGCGAGCTCGGCTGTACGATTTCGGATGTACGAACTTGGATCGACACTCGTCCTTGCAGCTCAGGTATTGCCGCATCGGTTTCATTAGTCAAATTCGCAATTTCAGTTACTGGATCAATTTCGCGTTTCATGTCATCGGTATCTCAATTTCTGCCAATCGTCTTGGCGGATCCATCTCGCGTTGTTGTTCCGCGTTTCGATTCGTGACTCATTTGCGCGCATCAGTTTCGCAAATCCATTTCGAGGTCGATTTAGTGGCACAGTGCCATGCGCGAGCGACTTATCGAAACCTCGCGGATCAAGTTTTTTGTTACTCATGCTGCTCTCTCCTCGTTCCCTCCGCTCTTCTCTCCCGTGCAGGTCACTCGGCCTCAAGGAGCAATGGCAGGCGGACGTCGGGCAGCAAGCAAGCACGTGGGTGGCCCTCATGCCTCAAGCACCTGGCGGCAGCAGACAGCAGTAACATCGTCAGCTAAGTGCTCTCTCCTCCTCGCATCCCGCATCACACCCCTTTCCATGTTTCCGCGTTTCCTTCATCCCGCCGTCCATCAAATTGGGGCCACTGCTGGCAGCACACGGTACAACCCACACACCCCGCTCACTCTCAGGTAAAGCCCCCCCCAGGTGATGCCTTGAGGTATAGCCCTCTCTCACTGCAGGTAGCAACCAGCCCGTGGGTCTGTGGCTTGTGACTGTGTGTGCACCAGTGGCCCTCCTCCCGTTCTTGCTCATCTCACGTTGCATGCATGCATCCCCTTTCCCACTGCTGCCTCCCTCCCTCTCACTACCCTTCTAAGCGCACCCTCCCCTCTTCCTTACCCCCCCCCCCTCCTCCGGCCCACCCCCCTTCCCCCCCCCTTCCTCCCAGCAGCGCTAGAGCCGAGCTACAGTGGGAGGGACACGCCTGCTGCCCGTGCTCCTTCAACTGCCGCCTCCTCTCTCGCTTCCAGCTAAGTGCCCCTTCCTCCACGTCATCACTTGTACTTGCCAGTTTGTTCTTGCTCGTGCTTTCGCCTTTCTCCTTGAAACACTGCCACTGGTTGAGCCCGGCTCACATGCCACAGACCCTCTTAGATCAGATAACCCCCTCAGGTGCAGGTATCCCTTGAGGTGCAGGTACGCTCTTCAGGTTCCCTTTGGGTCTGTGACTTGTGCCCGTGCCTCCATCAGTGGCCCCTCCTATCTTCCTGAACTGGCAGCTTCTGGTGTTTCCCTTGTGCTTGTGGCCATTCCATGCGCACTCACTGCTGCTCTGTGTGTGCCTTGCTGCTGGAGGGGAGGGGCGTGGGGTCAACACCGACGCTCCCTCACGCCTCTCCCCTGTGGCCGTGCAGGGACGCGGAAGGGAGGCTGGGAGGAGGGCTGCTGGGAGGAGTCACCTGGTGGTGCTTCAGCTGCCTTCTGCTCGCTCTCACATGACCAGCTAAGTGCCCCTTCCTCCACGCCCTCACCCTTGCCTGCCACATCATATCGCCTTGTCATTTTCTGTCAGTTTGTTGGTTGCTTGTGCTTTCGCACTTCTCCTTGAATCAGCGCCACTGCTTGGAACCGGTCCACATGCCACAGACCCCCTTACTTCAGGTATTTTTTCAGATGCAGGTATCCCCCTCAGGTACTGCAGGTTCCCTTGGGGTCTGTGACTTGTGGCCGTGCTTCCATCAGTAGCCCCTCCTATCTTCCTGATTTGGCAGCTTCTGGTGTTTCCCTTGTGCTTCTGGCCATTCCATGCGCACTCGCTGCTGCTCTGTGTGTGCCTTGCTGGTGGAGGGGAGGGGCGTGGGGTCAACACCGACGCTCCCTCGCGCCTCTCCCCGGTGGCCGTGCAGGTGGCAGTGGGGAAGGGAGGAAGGCTGGGAGAGAGACTTGCGACGGGGGAGAGTGTCTGGGGTGGGGTTGGCCTCTCAAGGTGAGCCTCTTGCCTGCTCTTTCCCACTGCACTCACTTCCCCCTTTGAGGTTCCCGGCCCATCAGTCCATTGCACCTCTGTTTGACCTCCCTCCTGTTTCCCTCCTGCTTCCCTCCTGGCTGCCCTCCCTTCTGCCCCCCACCAGGTCACTCCGCTTGCACCAGGGGGCAGGGAAGGCTGGGCTGCACACTGCCAGCACCACTTGCGGAAGCAGAAGCAGCGGTGTGCGCAGGAGCAGCAGGAGGGGAGGGGAGGGGAGGGGACATGAGACAGCAGGCCCCGCTGGTGCTTCAACTGCCAGCTAAGTGACCTCTTCTTTCTTCAATCTCCCTGGCTTGCTGGTCACCGCTTTCTGCATGTGGTTCTGTGCTTTGTTTGACCTTCAAATTCTCGCCACTGGTTGGGGCCCGGTTCACAAGCCGCCTTTTCTATTGGTAAGCCCCTCGGGTTCAGCCCTTCCATTCTTACTGCTGTCCCCTGATCCCCTGCCTACCCCTGCCTTGCTCCCTCCCTTCCAGTACATTGAAGGCTGTAGCAGGGCAGAACAGGGGCAGCAGCAGGGCAGCAGCGGAGGGGAGGGGAGGGGCAGAGTCAGCAGCAGGGGAAGCAGAGTAGCAGACCGGGAGTGGCAGTGGCGGCTGACATGGAGTGCACAGGCAGCAGCTCCTCTCCACCCAACCCACCTACAGCTAAGTACCCCGCCCTTCCTCTCTTCTCCCAACCCTCGCACTCTGTTGCTTTGGTTGTCATGCTTGCACCATGCATTGCACCCCCTTTTTCACTGCTCTTTGTCACACCCATTAGACCTCCCTCCCCCAAGGTAGTAGGTATTTTTTTCTTGGTACAGCCTCAGGTTTTTGTTTTAGTTTGGTTCAGCTGGTACGAGGTCTCTTGGGTGTGCCACTGCAGCAGTCCATTCATGCACACATCATGCTTGCGTTTGCTGCACTCTTCACTTTCACTTGTCTTGGCTTCTTTCCTCACTGCTCTCCCCACTCCTCTGCCCCCCCTTCACTTCCCCGTTTTCTTTCCCCCCTCCTCCCTTCCTCTCTCTGTCCCAACCCGCCCCCTCCCGTCCCAGCAGGTCGCTCACACGGGAGTGGCAGTGGTGGGAGGGGAGGGGGGCAGCACTCCACTCGGCTGGGATGGGATGGGAGAGTATCGGGATTGGGTCGTCTGAAACAAGGTGAGCCTCTTTTCCCTCGTGCACTCGTCCTGCTGCTTGTTCTTCTCCCCATGCTGACTTCCCGTTTCTGCTCCCTTGCTTCCTTGTAGCTTCTGCCTACTCTTCTCCCCATTGTCACTGCTGTCCCTTGATCCCCTGCCTACCCCTGCCTTGCTCCCTCCCTCCCAGTACATTGAAGGCTGTAGCAGGGCAGCACGGGGGCAGCAGCAGGGCAGCAGCGGAGGGGACGGGAGGGGCAGCGTCAGCAGCAGGGGAAGCAGAGTAGCAGACTGGGAGTGGCAGTGGCGGCTGACATGGAGTGCACAGGCAGCAGCTGCTCTCCACCCAACCCACCTACAGCTAAGTACCCCGCCCTTCCTGTCTTCTCCCAACCCTCGCACTCTGTTGCTTTGCTTGTCATGCTTGCACCATGCATTACACTCCCTTTTTCACTGCTCTTTGTCACACCCATTAGACCTCCCTCCCCCAAGGCAGTAGGTATTTTTTTCTTGGTACAGCCTCAGGTATTTGTTTTAGTTTGGTTCAGCTGGTACGAGGTCTCTTGGGTGTGCCACTGCAGCAGTCCATTCATGCACACATCATGCTTGCGTTTGCTGCACTCTTCACTTTCACTTGTCTTGGCTTCTTTCCTCACTGCTCTCCCCACTCCTCTGCCCCCCCTTCACTTCCCCGTTTTCTTTCCCCCCTCCTCCCTTCCTCTCTCTGTCCCAACCCGCCCCCTCCCGTCCCAGCAGGTCGCTCACACGGGAGTGGCAGTGGTGGGAGGGGAGGGGGGCAGCACTCCACTCGGCTGGGATGGGATGGGAGAGTATCGGGATTTGGTCGTCTGAAACAATGTGAGCCTCTTTTCCCTCGTGCACTCATGCTGCTGCTTGTTCTTCTCCCCATGCTGACTTCCCGTTTCTGCTCCCTTGCTTCCTTGTAGCTTGTGCCCACTCTTCTCCCCATTCTCACTGCTGTCCCTTGATCCCCTGCCTACCCCTGCCTTGCTCCCTCCCTCCCAGTACATTGAAGGCTGTAGCAGGACAGCACGGGGGCAGCAGCAGGGCAGCAGCGGAGGGGAGGGGAGGGGCAGCGGCAGCAGCAGGGGAAGCAGAGTAGCAGACCGGGAGTGGCAGTGGCGGCTGACATGGAGTGCACAGGCAGCAGCTGCTCTCCACCCAACCCACCTACAGCTAAGTACCCCGCCCTTCCTGTCTTCTCCCAACCCTCGCACTGTGTTGCTTTGCTTGTCATGCTTGCACCATGCATTGCACCCACTTTTTCACTGCTCTTTGTCACACCCATTAGACCTCCCTCCCCCAAGGTAGTAGGTAATTTTTTCTTGGTACAGCCTCAGGTATTTGTTTTAGTTTGGTTCAGCTGGTACGAGGTCTCTTGGGTGTGCAACTGCAGCAGTCCATTCATGCACACATCATGCTTGCGTTTGCTGCACTCTTCACTTTCACTTGTCTTGGCTTATTTCCTCACTGCTCTCCCCACTCCTCTGCCCCCCCTTCACTTCCCCGTTTTCTTTCCCCCCTCCTCCCTTCCTCTCTCTGTCCCAACCCGCCCCCTCCCGTCCCAGCAGGTCGCTCACACGGGAGTGGCAGTGGTGGGAGGGGAGGGGGGCAGCACTCCACTCGGCTGGGATGGGATGGGAGAGTATCGGGATTGGGTCGTCTGAAACAAGGTGAGCCTCTTTTCCCTCTTGCACTCATGCTGCTGCTTGTTCTTCTCCCCATGCTGACTTCCCGTTTCTGCTCCCTTGCTTCCTTGTAGCTTGTGCCTACTCTTCTCCCCATTCTCACTGCTGTCCCTTGATCCCCTGCTTACCCCTGCCTTGCTCCCTCCCTCCCAGTACATTGAAGGCTGTAGCAGGGCAGCACGGGGGCAGCAGCAGGGCAGCAGCGGAGGGGAGGGGAGGGGCAGCGGCAGCAGCAGGGGAAGCAGATTAGCAGACCGGGAGTGGCAGTGGCGGCTGACATGGAGTGCACAGGCAGCAGCTGCTCTCCACCCAACCCGCCTACAGCTAAGTATCCCGCCCTTCCTGTCTTCTCCCAACCCTCGCACTGTGTTGCTTTGCTTGTCATGCTTGCACCATGCATTGCACCCACTTTTTCACTGCTCTTTGTCACACCCATTAGACCTCCCTCCCCCAAGGTAGTAGGTATTTGTTTCTTGGTACAGGCTCAGGTATTTGTTTTAGTTTGGTTCAGCTGGTACGAGGTCTCTTGGGTGTGCCACTGCAGCAGTCCATTCATGCACACATCATGCTTGCGTTTGCTGCACTCTTCACTTTCACTTGTCTTGGCTTCTTTCCTCACTGCTCTCCCCACTCCTCTGCCCCCCCTTCACTTCCCCGTTTTCTTTCCCCCCTCCTCCCTTCCTCTCTCTGTCCCAACCCGCCCCCTCCCGTCCCAGCAGGTCGCTCACACGGGAGTGGCAGTGGTGGGAGGGGAGGGGGGCAGCACTCCACTCGGCTGGGATGGGATGGGAGAGTATCGGGATTTGGTCGTCTGAAACAATGTGAGCCTCTTTTCCCTCGTGCACTCATGCTGCTGCTTGTTCTTCTCCCCATGCTGACTTCCCGTTTCTGCTCCCTTGCTTCCTTGTAGCTTGTGCCCACTCTTCTCCCCATTCTCACTGCTGTCCCTTGATCCCCTGCCTACCCCTGCCTTGCTCCCTCCCTCCCAGTACATTGAAGGCTGTAGCAGGGCAGCACGGGGGCAGCAGCAGGGCAGCAGCGGAGGGGAGGGGAGGGGCAGCGGCAGCAGCAGGGGAAGCAGAGTAGCAGACCGGGAGTGGCAGTGGCGGCTGACATGGAGTGCACAGGCAGCAGCTGCTCTCCACCCAACCCACCTAAAGCTAAGTACCCCGCCCTTCCTCTCTTCTCCCAACCCTCGCACTGTGTTGCTTTGCTTGTCATGCTTGCACCATGCATTGCACCCCCTTTTTCACTGCTCTTTGTCACACCCATTAGACCTCCCTCCCCAAAGGTAGTAGGTATCTTTTTCTTGGTACAGCTTCAGGTATTTGTTTTAGTTTGGTTCAGCTGGTACGAGGTCTCTTGGGTGTGCCACTGCAGCAGCAAGCCATTCATCCATTGCACATCGTTCTTTCACTCACTCTCCAGACTTTTCACTCGTCTATGTTCCTTTCCTCATTTCCCTTCCCACTCCTCTTCTCCCCCTTCACACCTCCGTCCTCTTCTCCCCCACCGTCCCCCCCTCCCTTCCTCTCTCTGTCCCACTCTGCAACCCTCTCCTCCCAGCAGGTCGCTCACACGGGAGTGACAGTGGCAGGGGACATGGAGTGCACAGGCAGCAGCTGCTCTCCACCCAACCCACCCACAGCTAAGTCCCTGCCCTGCTGTTCTTATCCCAATTTCCCCTCTTGACCTCGTTTGCTTTCCATGTCTATCCTTGCTGCGCCTCCTGTATCTCGTCTCTTCAAGCACATGCCTCTGGTTGAGCCAAGGCTTCAAGCCACAGTCCCTTTTTCTTGGGTACCCCCCCCCTGGTATAGCTGGTAAACCCCCCTTTGGTATGACCCCCCCTTGGTATGTGGCTTGTAGCTGAGGCTGAACCAGCGGGCCCCTCCCCTCCCCTAATCCCCCCTCCCCACTTCCCAGCAGCCTCACCATCATGGCGCTCTGCATGGCTCTGGCAGGTACAGGTAAGGAGGCATGGGGGCGAAGTGTGGGGTGGGTGGGGGGAAGCATGGGAGAAAGCAGGGAGTTCACTTCCTGAGGGGCAGCATTCTCAGGGGATGTGCCTTGTGGGGTGGGTTGTGGTGGGTGGAATCTCCGCGGCACGGCACTCGGTGCTCAGGTTCCCAATCTGGCGTTTAAGGCTTAATGGACACCGTCAGAGCCGACCGGCCGGCGGCTCTGGTTCGCGTCAGCTCTAGCTACGTCAGGGGTGGGATTCGAGTCTTGGGCTGGAAGCGATTTTTCACTGCCACACCTCGACCGAAAAGCACAACTTCTGCGGATGGTGTTTCTGAAAGGGAGTGGGCTGTCTGCTGCTCCTACTGCTGGCAGGTGAAGTTGGGGTGCTTGCTTCCCTCTGTATCCTCCCTCTGTTCCTTCCATCAGTTCCTTCCCTCAGTTCCTTCCCTCAGTTCCCTCCCTCAGTACCTTCCCTCAGTTCCATCCCTCAGTTCCTTCCCTCAGTTCCTTCCTTCAGTTCCCTCCCTCAGTTCCCTCCCTCAGTTCCTTCCCTCAGTTCCTTCCCTCAGTTCCTTCCCTCAGTTCCTTCCCTCAGTTCCTTCCCTCAGTTCCTTCCCTCAGTTCCTTCCCTCAGTTCCTTCCCTCAGTTCCTTCCCTCAGTTCCCTCCCTCAGTTCCTTCCCTCAGTTCCTTCCTTCAGTTCCCTCCCTCAGTTCCCTCCCTCAGTTCCTTCCCTCAGTTCCTTCCCTCAGTTCACTCCCTCAGTTCCCTCCCTCAGTTCCTTCCCTCAGTTCCTTCCCTCAGTTCCTTCCCTCAGTTCCTTCCCTCAGTTCCTTCCCTCTGTTCCTTCCCTCTGTTCCTTCCCTCAGTTCCTTCCCTCAGTTCCTTCAATCAGTTCCCTCCCTCAGTTCCTTCCCTCAGTTCCTTCCCTCAGTTCCTTCCCTCTCAGTTCCTTCCCTCAGTTCCTTCCCTCAGTTCCTTCCCTCAGTTCCTTCCCTCAGTTCCTTCCCTCAGTTCCTTCCCTCAGTTCCTTCCCTCAGTTCCCTCCCTCAGTTCCTTCCCTCAGTTCCTTCCCTCAGTTCCCTCCCTCAATTCCCTCCCTCAGTTCCTTCCCTCAGTTCCCTCCCTCAGTTCCCTCCCTCAGTTCCTTCCCTCAGTTCCCTCCCTCAGTTCCTTCCCTCAGTTCCTTCCCTCAGTTCCTTCCCTCAGTTCCCTCCCTCAGTTCCCTCCCTCAGTTCCTTCCCTCAGTTCCTTCCCTCAGTTCCCTCCCTCAGTTCCTTCCCTCAGTTCCTTCCCTCAGTTCCCTCCCTCAGTTCCCTCCCTCAGTTCCCTCCCTCAGTTCCTTCCCTCAGTTCCCTCCCTCAGTTCCCTCCCTCAGTTCCTTCCCTCAGTTCCTTCCCTCAGTTCCTTCCCTCAGTTCCTTCCCTCAGTTCCTTCCCTCAGTTCCTTCCCTCAGTTCCTTCCCTCAGTTCCTTCCCTCAGTTCCCTCCCTCAGTTCCCTCCCTCAGTTCCTTCCCTCAGTTCCTTCCCAGTTCCCTCCCTCAGTTCCTTCCCTCAGTTCCTTCCCTCAGTTCCTTCCCTCAGTTCCTTCCCTCAGTTCCCTCCCTCAGTTCCCTCCCTCAGTTCCCTCCCTCAGTTCCTTCCCTCAGTTCCTTCCCTCAGTTCCTTCCCTCAGTTCCTTCCCTCAGTTCCTTCCCTCTCAGTTCCTTCCCTCAGTTCCTTCCCTCAGTTCCTTCCCTCAGTTCCTTCCCTCAGTTCCTTCCCTCAGTTCCTTCCCTCAGTTCCTTCCCTCAGTTCCCTCCCTCAGTTCCTTCCCTCAGTTCCCTCCCTCAGTTCCCTCCCTCAGTTCCTTCCCTCAGTTCCTTCCCTCAGTTCCTTCCCTCAGTTCCTTCCCTCAGTTCCTTCCCTCAGTTCCCTCCCTCAGTTCCCTCCCTCAGTTCCCTCCCTCAGTTCCTTCCCTCAGTTCCTTCCCTCAGTTCCCTCCCTCAGTTCCTTCCCTCAGTTCCTTCCCTCAGTTCCTTCCCTCAGTTCCTTCCCTCAGTTCCCTCCCTCAGTTCCCTCCCTCAGTTCCCTCCCTCAGTTCCTTCCCTCAGTTCCTTCCCTCAGTTCCTTCCCTCAGTTCCTTCCCTCTCAGTTCCTTCCCTCAGTTCCTTCCCTCAGTTCCTTCCCTCAGTTCCTTCCCTCAGTTCCTTCCCTCAGTTCCTTCCCTCAGTTCCTTCCCTCAGTTCCTTCCCTCAGTTCCTTCCCTCAGTTCCTTCCCTCAGTTCCTTCCCTCAGTTCCTTCCCTCAGTTCCCTCCCTCAGTTCCCTCCCTCAGTTCCTTCCCTCAGTTCCTTCCCTCAGTTCCCTCCCTCAGTTCCTTCCCTCAGTTCCTTCCCTCAGTTCCTTCCCTCAGTTCCTTCCCTCAGTTCCCTCCCTCAGTTCCCTCCCTCAGTTCCCTCCCTCAGTTCCTTCCCTCAGTTCCTTCCCTCAGTTCCTTCCCTCAGTTCCTTCCCTCAGTTCCTTCCCTCTCAGTTCCTTCCCTCAGTTCCTTCCCTCAGTTCCTTCCCTCAGTTCCTTCCCTCTCAGTTCCTTCCCTCAGTTCCTTCCCTCAGTTCCTTCCCTCAGTTCCTTCCCTCAGTTCCTTCCCTCAGTTCCTTCCCTCAGTTCCCTCCCTCAGTTCCTTCCCTCAGTTCCTTCCCTCAGTTCCTTCCCTCAGTTCCTTCTCTCAGTTCCTTCCCTCAGTTCCTTCCCTCAGTTCCTTCCCTCAGTTCCTTCCCTCTGTTCCTTCCCTCGGTTTTTTTCTCGCCCCCCTTTGTATCCCCCCTCTGTCTCCTCTGATTCCTCCCTCTCTTTCCTCCCTCTGTCGCCTCTCACTCTGTTTTCCTCCCTCTGTATCCTCCCCCTATAACCTCTCTCTCTGTTTTCCTACCTCTGTATCCTCCCTCTTTAACCTCTCTCCCTTCCTTCCTCTGTATCTTCCCTCTGGTACCTCTCCCTCTGGTTTCCTACTCTGTACCCTCTGTCGTCTCTCTCCGTTTCCTCCCTAAGAATCCTCCTTCTTTCACCCCTGTCTCTGTTTTCACCCCATCGGTTTCCACCCCATCAAATTCCAGCCCATCAGTTTCCATCAGTTTCCACCCCATCAGTTTCCACCCCATCAGTTTCCACCCCATCAGTTTCCACCCCATCAGTTTCCACCCCATCAGTTTCCACCCCATCAGTTTCCACCCGATCAGTTCCCACCCCATCAGTTTCCACCCCATCAGTTTCCACCCCATCAGTTTCCACCCCATCAGTTTCCACCCCATCAGTTTCCACCCCATCAATTTCCACCCCATCGGTTTCCACCCCATCAGTTTCCACCCCATCAGTTTCCACCCCATCACTTTCCTCCCCATCAGATTCCACCCCGCGGCGCATGGATGAGCATATTGTAGCCGGGTAAATTGTTGTATACGTGTAAACACGTGCAATGCCAGCTTTCAGGTTTTCGTGTCGTCCACTTAGACTTACCCAAGAATGCCGTATTGAGCAATGGTCAATCGTTTTTTACGCTATGTTTCAAGATCTTGGCCTTAGCTGGATAAATTGTTGGTGCATGTAGCATATGAAGTGTGGTATGTACCTTATGAATTTTGTTTTTTAAATTCTCTGTACACTACTCTGATTGTGTTATTAGCGGGGCCGTGCTAAACATGGCCCTCCGATTTACTAGCGGGGATTCAGATGACTGAAGGGAAGGTATTGGAAGGGCGCTTTTCTGTCACGAACTAGCTAGCGATTGTGATTTTGTTCTGCGCCAAGCAGCAAGATTCTGCTCGTTCTGCACGAAGCAAGTCGGTCCGTTCGATCACAAGATTATCGAAAGTTTTGGCGTGAGGCTTCCGAAAACCCCCCAAAACAGCGCATCCCGCAGCCTATCCGTTGGTGTGCCATCCGGAACCTGGGGATGCGCTTCGCGAATCCAAAATTGTTGGCGGAGCTTCAGTGATGTGTCAGCGAATTTGGTGGCCAGCCCGCGGTTTCCCCGCCCCACCCCAGGCACTCACGAGTTTCGCGACCACGATATTGTTCGTATGGGCTGCTTGTATCCCCAATTCACGACACAACTTTGTTTCGCGAATTCAACTAGACCCACTGAAATCGTTCGTCGTCCCTTTTGCGGTAAACGGTCGTTCCGCCACTTTGGGGAACTCAGCGCGCTTTCGCGGCGAAGCGCGATGCGCCAAACTTGTCGGGGGGGCTTCTTTCCCCACCGCCCGTACCGGCCTCGGGATTGGCTGAGGTTTCTCTGGGCTGTGCTGAACCTTGCCTGAGATGGACAGGGAAGAACCAGACATAAAACAAACAGTCGACCTTTCTCAACACTTTTCAACCGGACTGAAACATCAAGTGCCTCTCTCGACCATTCCAATTGTGTCAACTTATGCAGAGCAGAGCAAGCAGTGGTGCAAGTTGAGCGACCAGAGCAGTGAGCGAGTTCAACCCAATTTCCGATTCTTCCAGCCTCCTGCTCTCCATTTTCGACTCTCTCCCTCCCTGCTCCTCTCATCACCTCCATTCTCGAAGAGCATTTGTAGAAGCGTTCACGGTTAATTTCCGGCCGTTCGCCACCAACTCTGCGCTCCTTTCTTTAGTCATTCAACACAGACCGTTCAGCCGCTAGTCACCATCAGTTATTCCCAAAGAAGTTTCGACGCTAGAAACAAACTTCGTCGTCAGCAGCGATTTCCTTGGTCAACAAAAGCGTTCTCTCCGTCACCGGCGACATCGTTTCCGTTAGCTTCGATTTCCTAGTCGGCTGCAGTTTTCGCCGACAGAAACGTATCTCCCTGTCAGCAGCTTCGTGTTTTACCATTCTCAACAATCAAGCCGGCCGTCAGCGGACATTGCGATAGGAAACGAATGTCCTCCTCGTCAGCAGTTCTCACTGTCAGCAGCAGCGTTTTCCTCGTAACTGCAACGACTTTGGCGGTCGGAAGAGATTCTCGACGTTCCCAGCAATCTCGGCCGTCAGCAGAGATGTGTTGCAATCTGTTTGCGGTTTGAAGCGACTTGTTCCCTCAGCAGCGACGAATTCGAGAGTCCGTTCTGCTGCGACCTCCACGAGCGCGGCTGATCACCTCATTCAAGCTCGAAGCTCGCGACGCGGTTAAGCGGAATCGCGTGGCTAAGCGGAATCGCGTGGCTAAGCAGAATCGCCGGCGTAGCTGTGGCTATGCGGAATCACAGGGAGGATCGCTTCCTCCTCGAATCGCGCTTTCCCTGCATCAGGTGCGTTGCTACTCCCAGAATCTTCACATTAACCACGTTAACTACTTTTCGCCATAATATTCTAATTTAAGTTCGCGTTCTAATGTGCAGAATGTAATCAAACCGCCCCGAAGGTGAGGCAAATCCGCGGAGAAGCATTATGGCGTGGAGGCGAATCCACGGAAGCGAGAAGCATGGCGCTCATCTCACCAGTCTGCGACGCCCAGCAGCACTCATTTTAAAGCTAAGTGCAACACAGAATACCTGGACATTCGGCTGCTTGATACACTGACTTCCTGAAACACAGACTGCTTGAACCGTTGACTGCTTGAACCGTTGACTGCTTGAACCGTTGACTGCTTGAACCGTTGACTGCTTGAACCGTTGACTGCTTGACACACAGACTGCTTGAACCGTTGACTGCTTGACACACAGACTGCTTGAACCGTTGACTGCTTGACACACAGACTGCTTAAACCGTTGACTGCTTGCCACACGGATTGTTTGAACCGTTGACTGCATGAACCGTTGACTGCTTGACACACAGACTGCTTGAACCGTTGACTGCTTGAACCGTTGACTGCTTGACATGCAGACTGCTTGAACCGTTGACTGCTTGAACCGTTGACTGCTTGACACACGGACTGCCCTCCCCGCCCTCCCCGCCCTGCCCTCGCTGCCCTCCCACTTCTCCCGCTGCCTTCACCTCGTTCCTCACGGCGCTCCCCTTGCTGCCCTCCCCGCCCTGCCCTCCCTGCCTGCCAGGCGAGCGCAAGCCAGGAGGTCGGAAGCAGGCGAGCAGCAGGCGAGGGGAGCACCAGGGCGGGCAGCAGGAGCGCGGGCAGCGGGGCAGCAGCGCCGGCCTCAACAACGGTTGAGGTTGCAGTATCGCCCCTGCCACCACACTCCACTCGAGCCCACTCCCCCTCAGGTTCAGGTTCAGGTTCAGGTGCAGGTGCAGGTTCAGGTTGGTAGCGGCTCTTGTGGGGTTGTGGTTGGCGTCACATGTACCGTCGTTTCTGCTGTTGCACGTGTGTTTGACACTTTCCTCCATTGCAACCCCTCTTACTCTTGGCTGCCTTTCCTTTCCGCCCTCCCTCCCCTGCCCTCCCTTCCCTGCCAGGCCTTCACAAGCCAGAGGGAGGGCAGCAGGCGAGCAGCAGGCGAGGGGAGCGCCAAGGCGGGCAGCAGGAGCGCGGGCAGCGGGGCAGCAGTGCCGGCCTCATCAACGGTTGAGGTTGCAGTATCGCCCCTGTCACCACACTCCACTCGAGCCCACTCCCCCTCAGGTTCAGGTTCAGGTTCAGGTTCAGGTTCAGGTGCAGGTTGGTAGCGGCTCTTGTGGGGTTGTGGTTGGCGTCACATGCACTGTCGTTTCTGCTGTTGCACGTGTGCTTGACACTTTTCTCCATTGCAACCCCTCTTACTTTCGGCTGCCTTTCCTTTCCGCCCTCCCTCCCCTGTCCCCCCTTCCCTGCCAGGCCTTCACAAGCCAGAGGGAGGGCAGCAGGCGAGCAGCAGGCGAGGGGAGCGCCAAGGCGGGCAGCAGGAGCGCGGGCAGTGGGGCAGCAGCGCCGGCCTCATCAACGGTTGAGGTTGCAGTATCGCCCCTGCCACCACACTCCACTCGAGCCCACTCCCCCTTAGGTTCAGGTGCAGGTTCAGGTTCAGGTTGGTAGCGGCTCTTGTGGGGTTGTGGTTGGCGTCACATGCACCGTCGTTTTGGCACTCACACTGCTGCCAATCGCTTCCTCGCACCTGCCTATAACTAACTCCCATCTCTTTCTTTCTTCTCCTCTGCCTCGCCGGTCCGGTCCTTCAACCCCCGCTCGCCCTGCCCACTCTCCATTGAAGCACCCCCTCCGCCTGCACCACACAATCAGCTAAGTACCCGTTCCCCCATGCCCGCATCGTTGCCTGCCATGCCGTTTCTTTCATTTCATCTGCTGTTGCAACGTCTTCTTGAAACAACGCCACTGGTTGAGTACTGCTCACATGCTACAGACCCCTCTGCTTCAGGTAATTACCTTAGGTGCAGGTAACCCCTTCAAGTGCAGATACATCCCTCAGGTTTTTTTACAGGTGCCCTTGGGTCTGCAGCTTGTGGCCGTGCCTCCACCATTGGCTCCTCCTCCCTTCCCTTGTGCTGGATTTCAAGTCACAGTCTTCCCTTCAACTTGCTCCCACCACCGCGCTCTGACTAGCTCTGTGTGTGCGCGTTGCAGGTGGCGGGGAGGGGTGTGGGGTCAACACTGACGCTCCCTCACGCCCCTCCCCTGTGGCCGTGCAGGGAGGAGGCACCTGGAGGAGGGCTGCTGCGGAGGGAGGCAGCTGGTGGTGCTGCAGCTGCCTTGAACTCGCCCTCACGCTATCAGCTAAGTCACCCACTTCCATGCCCTCACCCTCAAGGCCAGTTCGTTTGCCGGTTGTGCTTTCGCCCTTCCCTTTGAAGCAATGCTACTGGTTGAGCTCGGTTAACATGCCTCAGACCCCCTCTCTTCAGGTATCTCCTAAGGTGCAGGTAACCCTCTCAGGTGCAGGTAACCCTCTCAGGTGCAGGTCCCCCCTTCAGGTGCAGGTTCCCTTGGCATCTTTGGCGTGTGGCCTTGCCTCAACCAGTGGCCCTCCCTTTCTCTTCCACATGTGGCAGTTTCCGGTCTCTGGCTTGTGTTGTGCCCGTGCCATGCATACTGACCACCGCCGTGTGTGTGCATTGCAGGTGGAGGGGAGGGGTGTGGGGTCAACACCGGCGCTTCCCCACGCCCCTCCCCGGTGGCCGTGCGCGAGGGAGGGAGGGAGGCAGCGCCGGGAGGGGACGGGAGGGAGGCAGCAGTGCAGCATGGCAATCCCGCTGCCTCAAGGGAGAGTATTGGCATGGGCTTGGCCCTTCAAGGTAAGCCTCTTTCTCTGCCGCACTTGTTGCTGTGGGTCTTTGATGCTGCCTCTTCTGCTGCTTATCCTTGTGCTTCGCCCTTGCTTGCCTCACGGCCTGCACGCACTCGCCTCCTCTCCTTCCGTCCCTTCTGCCCCCTTCCATGTCCCTCGCAATGCAGCAGAGGCAGCTCTGTGCCACCTTGACGAAACCACTTGCGGCGGCAGCAGCAGCAGCAGCAGCAGCAGCGGTGGCGGCGGCGGCGGCGGCGGCGGCAGCAGCAGGGGAGGGGAGGAGTCAACATCCTCCAGCTAAGTGCCTTCTCTTCCCTGGAACCACCCTCGATTGCTGCTCTTTCCTCACATTGCTCCCTGAACCATTTCCGCATGTGCTTCCGCGTTTTATCCCTAAGAACTCGCCACTGGTGGGGCCCAGTTTGCAAGCCACAGACCCTCCCCCTTAGCTTCAAAGCCCCTCAGGTTAAGCCATCCCTAGGCCTTACACCCCCATCAGGTTACCCCTTACTTCCAGGTTCATTTTTCAGGTTCCCTTGATGGTCCGTGGCTTGTGATTCTTCCCTCCACCAGTGGCCCCTTCCCTCCACTTCCCTGCGTTTGTAGTCCCAGCTGCCATGCCAGCCTTGTGTTATGATTGCCCACTCACTGTCTCTGCGTGTGTGCGTTGCCGGTGGAGGGGAGGGGCGCAGGGGTCGACGCCAACACTCCCCCTCGCCCCTCCCTTGTGGCCGTGCAGGTACCCACGGGGATGGGAGGGCGGCAGCACTGCAGCAGCTTGCAGTTGGTGCCACGAGGGAGAGTATTGGGGTGGGCTGGCCTCTCAAGGTGCGTTACCTCCCTCCTTAGAGTGCATTTGCTGCTGCATTTCTCTCTACATTTTGCCCTTGTTGTCTTTGTCAGCTTATGCGTTTCTGTGTTGACTTTAGTGTTTCTGTTCACGTCACATCGCTAACCTTCTGCCCTTTCTCTCCTGCCCCCCCCCTTTTTCTGCCCGCCACCAGGTCACTCGGCATCAAGAGAAGAGTGCAGCTGAGGAAGCAGTCTGCAGACCGGCAGCCGCAGTTGCAGCAGCAGAAGCAGCAGCGCAGCAGCAGTGGGGGGGTGGGGGGCTGGGCAGGAGACTAGGCTAGGCATGGTGTGAGCGAGGTGTGGTAAAAGGTTTGGCATGGTACCAGGTGAGGTGTGGTGATCTGATTCCCTCCCCTCTCTCTCTCCCTCCTTTTAACTCCTGCAGGCTGAAGGTGGGAGCACTGGAGCACTGGAGTGGAGTCCACCCTCTCACTCACCTCCTCCTCTCTCCCTTCTCCCTTCCCTCCCAGCAGCACCCTGCCTGGACCACAGAGGAGTCTCTCCCTCCAATAATCCCCCCTTCTCTCTCCACTTCCCAGCAGCCTCAGCATCATGGCGCTCTGCACGGCTGTGGTAGGTACAGGTGAGTAGGCATGGGGGTGAAGTGTGGGGTGGGTGGGTGGGTGGGGAGCACGGGAGCAAGTGGGGAGTTCACTGCCTTAGGGACAGCATCTCCTGGGGTTGTGTCTTGTTGGTGGGGTGTGGTGGGTGAAATCTGCGCGGCACGGCACTCGGTGCTCAAGTAACCGATCTGATGTTAAGGCCTAATGGACACCGTCAGAGCCGACCGGCCGGCGGCTCTGGTTCGCGTCAGCTCTGGCTACGTCAGGGGTGGGATTTGAGTCTTGGGCTGGAAGCAATTTTCCACTACTACACCTCGCCCCACAAGGCACCGCCTCTGGGGGTGTTGTTTCCTTGAGGAAGTGAGCTCTCTGCTGCTCCTACTGCTGCTGGCAGGTGAAGGTGAGATGGGCTGGGTGGGTGAGTGAGAGAGAAGGGGGCTTAAACCCCTTGGGTGGGTGAATGGGGCCTGAAACCCCTTGGGTGGGTGAGTGAGGGGAAAGGGGCTGAGTCCCCTATGGTGGGTGAGTGAGGGGAAAGGGGCTGAGTCCCCTAGGGTGGGTGAGTGAGGGGAAAGGGGCTGAGTCCCCTTGGGTGGGTGAGTGAGGGGAAAGGGGCCGAGTCCCCTTGGGTGGGTGAGTGAGGGGAAAGGGGCTGAGTCCCCTAGGGTGGGTGAGTGAGGGGAAAGGGGCTGAGTCCCCTTGGGTGGGTGAGTGAGCGGAAAGGGGCTGAGTCCCCTAGGGTGGGTGAGTGAGGGGAAAAAGGCTGAGTCCCCTTGGTTGGGTGAGTGAGTGGAAAGGGGGCGAGGGGTGAGGTAAGGTGGGTATGGGTGGGTGGGGGTAGGTTGTTGGGTGTTTGGATAGATGCTGTGGGTTGGGGTTGGCTGTGTGGCTGAGGGTGGGTGGGATTTTGAGGGTGGATGGGTGATTCTGCTGGGTAGGTGAGTTGGTGCATGGTTGGGGGTTGGGTGTTTGGTCTGGATTGGTAGTTCTGGGTAGGTGGTTGGGGGTTGGGTGTGTGGCTTGGATGGATGGTTCTGGATAGGTGGGTAGGTGTATGGTTGGGGGTTGGGTGTGTAGATTATATAGGTGCTGGGGTTGGGAATGGGTGAGTGGGTGGGTGTGAGTATCTGGGTGGGTGTTTCGATGGGGGTGGGTGGTGGATGGTTGGGTTGGGGTGGTTGGGTGGGTCTTTGGTTGAGAGAATGTGGGTGCTTGAGTTGGGAGGGAAGGGTGGGTTGTTTGGGTCGGTTATGTAATGGATGAGGGTAAGTTGAGTGAAGAGATATTGAATCGCCCAGTGACAGTTTGAATAAGGTATGTGGTTGGTTGTGTGGAAGAGGAGGAAGGGGGCTGAAGAGCATACGGTGGGTGAGTGGAGGACAAGGGGGCCTGAAAACGCCAGGGGAGAGGGCTGAAACCTTTTGAGGAGAATAGTGGAAGAGATGGGGGCCGAAACACTTAGGCAGAGTAGGTGAGTAAAAGAGGGGTTGGGGGGTGGGTGAAAAGAAAATAGGTAACTGGAATTCGATTTGAAGTGTTTGGGAGAATGAAAGAGAAGGGGGCTGAAAACCCTGAGGGTGAGTGAGTGGATGGAATGAGGGCTGAAACCGCCAGGCGGTTGAGTGGAAGGGGACTAGGCTGAGACCTTTAGCGTGGGAGAGTGGAAGAGAAGGGGCTTGGGCCCTTGTATTGAATGAGGGATGGATAAAGAACTTGGGTTGAAGCCCCTGTGGTGTGTTGAGTGGTGAGAGTGGTTGGTGAGCGTGGTGAGAGTGGTTGGTGAGCGTGGTGAGAGTGGTTGGTGAGCGTGGTGAGAGTGGTTGGTGAGCGTGGTGAGAGTGGTGAGAGTGGTTGGTGAGAGTGAAGCTGGGTAGAGAGTGGTTTGAGTGAGTTGTAAGAATGGTCAGCGAGTGTGGAGAGTGTTTGTTGGAGTGGTGGGAGTGACCCGTGAGAGTAGTGAGTGGGTGGTGGAGGGTATAGGTAAGGGCTGTGGCATCGAGTGGTGTGATTAGTGAGTTTGAGGTGAGAGTGAGTGGTTGCAGTCTGTGTGTGGTGATTGCGGCGACGGTTGGTGGTGAGTTGGTCAGAGTGAGTGGTGAGATGAGAAGGAGAGAAGAGAAGGCAAGGGTAATGAGGTGAGGTGGTCTGGTATGGTGTTGTGCTGTGCTTTTGCGGCATGGGGTGGTGTGCATTGGTGTGGCATGGTGCGGAACGATGTGTTGTGACATGGAGTGATATGACATGGTTTGCCATGTTGTGATATAGTGTGGTACAGAACGGTATGTGCTTTTTCGGCATATTTGTGCATGCCATGGTGTGGCATGCAGTAACAAATCAAGCAAAGAAAGATTCTTGTGGTGTGGCATGCAGTGATGCATCATGCCATGGGCAGGTTATGGAGCAACTGGAAGGAAGTGAGCACAGCTCTCAAGGCAACGAAGATTCTTGTGCTGGGAGGGAGGGGAAGAGGAGTGGAGGTTCAGGAGGACACCACCATCGTCATGAATCAGGAGGTCACCACCATCGTCATCATCTTGCCACACCGCTTCATCAAGCTGCCTCGGCATGCCTGCCACACTCATTATCTATGCTACATATCTTTTGTAACAGCATCTTGGTGACCTTCAAACTTTATATTGTCATAGTACCGTGCTAGTAATATTGCACCAAGACTTTGTATCTAGTTTATTGAAGGGAATCTGTACGGTACCTTTCAACTGATTCCGTAGTTGGATTGGATAGATAGGTATATGTCAACATAATGAGAGAATGTACCACCACCACCACCATGGTGAAGTAGCCCAAATATGACTGTAGAAAGGTCTGCTGCAAGAGAACATTACTACAATTGCTTGTCTCTCGATTGCGGTACCATAATAACATTGTAGCGATGCCTGATTGCCTGATGTGCATGGAACCACTCGGTTTGTCATGTCATCCTAGACAAGCCGTAACAACCCTAGACTACACTCTCAGACGGTACACCATTTTGCTACGGTCTGTCCGGTCCGGCCAACTGCCATGCCAGCCTTTTCCTGCCTAGCGAAAATCATTTCCTTCCTAACCATAATGCACGATGCGTGCAGGACAGCAAAGCTTGTACCACTTCACACCGTCCCATAAGCCTGCCACTGCTACCTACTTCTTGACAGTCATGGAGGCCTGCAGGATAGCTAACGTAGCTTGTACATCAATATTACACAACCCCAACAGCCTGCTGCTGCCACAATCCCCTGCAAGCCCCCTGCTTCTGCTGCTGCGGTTACTTCTTGAGAAAGAGTGTTTTCTTCTTGACACTCATGGAGGCCTGCAGGATAGCAAGATTCTGCCGCAGGTCCGAATTGTGGGTTTTGAGCCCCCGCACCTCGTCCACCAGCTCGCGCACCTTGCTCAGCATCGCCTCCTGCGCCTGCCGCCCTGCTGCCCTCTCCACCTCCACCTGCTGCTCTGCTGCCCGCCGCTTGCTTCTCTCTGCTTCCGCTTCCTGGTGTGAGGCATGGCGTTGGTGGGAACGGGTGGACGGGAGTGGGTTGGTGCGAACGGGTGGTGCAAGTGGGCTTTCATGGAGAAATCCACAGGGTGGCTTGCAGTGGGTTGACCATGGGTCGAAGTGGGTTGAAGGAGGGTAGTGCTGCAGGGGAAGGCAGGAGTAAGCACTGCTCAGATGAGCGACACATATGGGCAAGGGTGTTACTTCATGGGCCTGCTGCAGCTGTGCCTTGAGGCTGTTAATTTGTGACCCAAAAGACTGCTCAGGAGAATGACAAGGGCGTTACTTACCTCATGGGCTTGCTGCAGCTGTGCTTTGAGGCTGCTGATCTCATCCATCCACCCCTGTGACCCTGTCTTTAGTGCCTGCACATCACACACACACATACACACATGTACACGCATTTTGAGTTTGACTATTAAATCATCCATCTAGCCCTGTGACAGAAAACCAAAGAAAACGCCATCTTCTGAACCCCCCCCCCTTTCACTGAAAGCGCCTTACCTGGTTCTGAGCACAGAGAACGCGCACGGTGAAAGCCAGCGGCGTGTGGGCGCACGCGATAGCCTCGTCCTGCACGGCCCCCGACATGCGCTCCACGTGGATCAGCTCACACACGCTCAGCACGTCCCCTTCCTCCTCGCCGCTCGCTGCAAACGCGCTCACGGCTCCCCACAGGGCGTCGTGGCTGGGCCGTGCGTGGGGAGAGAAGGCCCGCACCACCCGCTTCAACTCGCCCGCACTCACTCGTGCTTCGACTTTGCTGCTGCTGCCGCTGCTGCTACTATCCGTGTTGCTGCTTGATATTGTGCTACTAGTGGTTCTGCCACTACTTGCTGTGCTGCTACTGCCGCTGCCGCTAGTAGCAGTGGCGTGAATCGGTGGGCCCATGGCTTGGCATCGGCATGCCAGGAATTGATCGATGAGAGCTGCTGCTCTGGTGAGGTCGCTCTGGGACTGAGCTGGGGGCCGCCCCTCTTGAGCTGCTACGAATGCAGTTACCATGGCCTGTTGCACAGCGCGGCGAGGTGGGCAGAACGAGAAGAAAGAAAGACTTGAAGCGAGAGGGGCAGTGTTGGAGAAGAGAAAGCGAAGACCGAGGAAAGGGGGCTTGCTGAACAAGTTTGAGGAAAGAAACAAATGAGGGGTTTGTTTGGCGGTGAGAGAGGCGAGAAAAGGGAGAGGGTGGGAAGGACAGCAAAGGAGCCGGATGTGGGTGGGGAAGGGGGGGACTGGAAAGGGAAGGGCAGAGCAGTTGCAGGAAAGACGGAACGAGGCAGAATATACATATTTGGTGGCATGGACTCACATGGACGTAGGGGATGGGGAGGGGCAGCAGATGCTTCTCAACCCCGACATCCCTCGTGAGGCGGTGTGAGGCAGCTTGGAAGAGGAAGAGCAGGGAGGAGCGCGGCATGGCGCAGAGGCAGGCGTCTGCCAGCAGGTGGAAGAGCAGATCAGTGGAGAGAGGCACGGTGGCGGGGTCGGGGAGGAGACGCGAGAGTTGCTGCAGGGCCTGCCTGTTGGGTGTTGTGTTGATGAGGGGGGAGGAAGGGAGGGGGGAAGGGGGGTGAGAGGCAGAGAGAGACGGAGAGAGGAAGAAGTGGGGGTGCATTTCGGAACTAGGAACAGCATGGAGGGAAGGAGGTGGGGCATAGAAATAGCCGAGCCGAGCTCTCCAAACATAAGATGGACGCCTGATCACGTCAGATCGCATCACATGGGATTGCTGGGTCGTATTTATCAGCAGCACTTCAGATAATCAAAGGCCTAGTCATCACAACAAGCACCGACCTGAAAGCTCCTTGCCAGTCGAGTTTATCCGTGACCAAGGGAACATCCCCATAGGCACATAGAGACGAACAAAAAGGGGGCGAGTTCAACCTATGCAAATAACAAGAAAGATGAACGAGTATCAGCATGGAGGGACGGAGTGGTGAGGCATAGAGAGGAACCACCGACCTGAAAGCTTCCTGCCAGTCGAGCTTATCAGTGACCAAGGGAACATCCCCATACGCCGTGTCCCACTGCCGCTTCTGCTTCTCCTCCTGCTGCTGCCGCTGCTGCCCCTGCTGCCGCCAGTCGTGTGCCCACTGCCAGTAGTAGGGCTCTAGTAGACTGCTCAGCCGCTGCGTGCTCATGCCCTGCTTCTGCGCGCCTGCATGCAGAGAGGTGCAGGGTGGATTTGGGGATAGAGACGATGGGGCGGAAGGGGAGGCAGGGGAGGAAGGGGGAGAAGGTGAGGAAGGAAACAGGGAGGGGAGGAAGGGGAGGAAGGGGTGGTGTGGTGGGGAGGGATTTTGAGTGGGTGGTGATGGAGGTAAACGAGGGGAGTGGGAGCTTTGATGCACATGGTACACGAGAGAAATTTGAGAGAGCTGGTGGTGGTGGTGGTCGTGGTGATGGTGGTGGTGATGGCAGAAAAGGAGGTGGCGTGTATGCACAGCACAGGCACTAAGGCAGTAAGGCAGTGAGGCACTGACTGATGAGCACGAGGCAGAAGTCCCTCAGAGCCAGCTTCATCAGATCGCCCTGCTGCTCTGCTGCCCCGCCTGCTGCCCCGCCTGCTGCTTTCTTTGATGCTTCGCTTGCTGCTGCTGCTGCAGCTGCTGCACGTTAGTGTATGTGAGCGAAGGGATGCAAGAACAGAGACATTAGAAGACGCATGGAAACCAAAACAAATGCCACATCTGAGTGTAATTATTAAACCGATGGGATGAACGAAAAGCGTCCTGAGCATATGATATCTAGACGGAATTTTAGGGCTACTGAAATCAAACCTTGTATGAATGCTATTCGATCAATAAAGGCAGCACGCTATCAAATGAACTGAGCATATCTCTACATATGCGCGTAGAAAACGAGAAGAGTACCTTTGGTGCGAGCGATGAGAAGAGAGGCAGCAGCATCAGCAGCCGCAGCCCGTGCTGCTCTGGCATCGTTGGATGGTGGCAGAGCGCTGCAACTGACGGGGAGGGGGGAAAGAGGAGGGGGTTTAGGAGGGAAAGGCGGGGGTTGTTAGGGAGGGAGGGGAGGAGACAGGGAGGAGCGAGAGGCACAGGGTTGGGGACGGAAGGGCAATGAGGAATGACATACGACAGCGGGGAGTAAGAGGGAGATGGATGGGGGATGACCAGGTTGGGTGGGAGGCAGCGAGTGGGAGTGAGAGTGAAGAGGAGTGTGTGAAGGGGAGTGTGTGAAGGGGAGTGTGTGAAGGAGAGCAAGGATTGTCCAGGCATATGCATGCACAAGGAGGGTGGGGTGGGGGTGTCAGCAGCCCACATGAGATAGATGTGGACCATGGGGAGGAGTATGCGTGTGCAACGGATAGATGAGCATCACATGCCATGGTACGGTATACACATCCCCATCCAGTATTCCATCCAATCCCTTACCGTCCATTATATCCCCTCCCCTCCCCTCCGCGCCCCTCCCCACCTTTCCCCTCCACCCTGCCCCTCCCTGCCCCTCAACCTCCCTCTTTAGACATACGATGAGAGCACGTGCAGGCAGTGCGGCCATTGCTGCAGGAAGTGCTGCAAGCGCTGCGATGCCAGCTGCGGCAGCGGCAGTGCGTGGCTGGGCCCACACGCGTTCATCTCCAGCAGTGACGCTGCCGGGGTGAGGAGGCCAGGGCGGAAAGGGGAGAGGGGGAAGGGAGGGGAAAAGGAGGTTGAGGCACCTCAAAAGCAGCGGCAGTGCGTGGCTGGGCCCACACGCGTTCATATCTAGCAGCGATGCTGCCAGGGCGAGGCGGCGAGGGGGGGAGGGGGGTGCGGGGTGAGAAGAAGGGGGGTGACAAGAGGATGCGGGGGGGAAAGAGTGAGGGATGAGAAGGACGGGGTGAGAAGAGGGATGGCGGGTGAGAAGGATGGGGTGTGTGAGGCGGGGGGCGAGTAAGAAGAAGCAAGAAAGAGGTCATCTCCCATCCTTCCTCCTGCACTCCTGGATCAGAATTCACCATTCAACACTGCCGCATCCCCCCATTTCCGCACCCCCCCACGGCCGCCAAGCATTACCTGCGGAGCGCACGAGCAGCACGGAGTGGGGCGAGAGGCGGCAGGGGCGGGCGTAGCAGTAGCAGGCGATGGGGACGAAGGAGAGCGCGCCGCCAGGGAGGAACGAGAGGTCCGCTTGCATGGGGCCCGTGCCCTCGTCCGATGCTGCTGCTGCGTTCGCTATAACCGTTGACAGGGAGAAGCTGTGGGAAGGGGAGGGGAAGGGAAGTTGGTCGGAGGGAGAGTTTAGAGCGTCTGGACCGTGAAGCCTGGTTACATTCCCTAGAGCTCATGAACACGTGAAGCAAGGGCGTAAACGCGTACTGAGAAAGGAGCAAGGCAAGTCACGCGTACAGCGCGTACTGGTGCACGTGGAAGGCTAGTAACGCGTACAGCGGGTACTGGTGCACGTGGAAGGCTAGTAACGCGTACAGCGGGTACTGGTGCACGTGGAAGGCTAGTAACGCGTACAGCGGGTACTGGTGCACGTGGAAGGCGCGCTGGCCGATGGTGACGACGAGGTCGCTCGCCATGCCCGCCACTTGCGCCCACTCCGGCTCGCTCTCGTGCGACAGCAGCGACGCTCCCGCGTCGTCGCAGCCCTCGTCGCCCATCGCGAGCGTCGTCGGAGCAGGCGACGGCGAGGCGCGCGGAAGAATCGGCGCGAGGGTGGCGGAGTGAACGGCGCGGAACGGCGCGAAGGTACAGCGACGAGGCAGGGGGGAGAGCGCGGGAGCGGCTGCTGCCTGCTGCTGTCTGCTGCTGTCTGCCGCTCTCCCTTCCGCTTCTAATGTGTGTTGTGTGCAACTCGCAGCAGAGATAAAAGAGAACTAAGGTCGCTGAAACAACCACTCTTCGAACTAAGGTCGTTCGGATGACGACCGTTGGACGCCAAGAGAGATTACGGTATAAAACGGACGTTCAGACTCAATGCGCCAAGAGAAATTATGGCTGTCAGGTCTGCTGAGCAATACAGCGCGTCAAGTGCGTAAAGAGCGTAAGGTGCGTGAAGTGTGAAAAGAAGTGCTGAACCGTGAACACGGAGACAAGCATGCCGTGCTGCTGGAAAGCGGTGGCAGGTAATCACGCGACGACGCTGATCCATCCCCCTCTCTATCACCACAATCCTGACAGTAAATCTCTACAGCGCGGATCGCGCGAGTAGGATAGACAAGTCCTTCGTTAACAACGCCGCGTGAACCAAGGCTTGCAGAGCTCCAAAAACGCGAGGACTGGATGAACGGCTCCGATTGTACCGATGGAGCTCGACAGTGTGGATTTTCTCGTCTGTAACGCGCAGATGCTGCAGCTCCCGCAGAGCAGCAGGCAATGGCTGGTCGTACCACCCGACCTGAACTCGCTATTGCATCGCTGCGCTCTGCGATACTGCGATGTGACAGCAGCATCGACATTTCCGACGCTTCGGCTTCGAATATCTCGACGCGACGCGAGCCGAGCTGACCTCTGCTTTCACGTTGTCGTTCTCGCCTTGGGACGAAAATGGGATGAGTGAGGCTTTCTGCTCGAGAGATGTGACAGAGACGACGAATTCGCGCCAACTTCAAGGTTGTTCACCAGTCACTTGAGCCGAGACCAAATAGAGTACAAGAGGGAGTTTCGAAAGAGTGCTCTTCAATGCGGTGACATTCGATTTCGTGCTTTTCCGAAAGGTTTTCTGTCACTGTATAACGTTCTCCGAGGTTTTCCAGTGATAGGGACATGATGGCTTTCACTTGTGATGATTTGAATCTGGATTGCAAATCTGCAGTATAGGCCAGAAAACACATAACGTGAACATCTACATTTACGTTTTATAAGAATACTTATTGAACATTTGTCAGATTGCGAGCCAATCTACGCCCTACCCAAAGTAGTATCGCTACAATGGTGTACATTCTGTGTAACAATATAATAATATTCAGAGGTACACTAAGCCAATGTAAAATTGACTAATCCTATCAACCACAGGTCCACAGCTACTCCATGGCAGCATGCCATCCATGCCCACCCCGGCATGGACTGGCAGTGCACTGCACAGGCAGAGAAGGCGGCTGGGCCTTGAGCATTGCCAGGACCAAGACGTGCGGGTGCCCTACTAGGGACTGGCTCTGCCCACCCCCACCTCCATCAAATGACATCACAGCTGGCCAGACAGCTTTGTCACTTGACGGGGGTGGAAGGGGACAGAACCAGTCCGGTTTGGCCCGGAATCGAGTCCCCAGCCAATGCTCAAGGCTTCAACCCCTCTCATGCACTGGCAAGGCCACCACTGAGACTGCCATCCTTGCTGCCAAGAAGGCACCTGCAGGCAGAGAAAACCAAGAAAGGCGCATATTAGTACAGGCCCTTTTAGAAAAAGGAAACAGAAAATCAGCAAACAAAAAAACAGGAAGTAAACCATGTGCATAAAAAACCATGGAGCTCGGAGGCAAGGGCTGGAACTTATCTGAAGTAGGAGCTTGGAGTGTGGGGTGCAGCGCAAGGTCTTGGGGGTCAATGGGCGTGCAAAGGGCTCTTGGAGAACCTGCCATGAGGCGAAATAAAACAAGTCAGTCAATGGGGAGTTGAAGCTCAACTTGAACATAAACCATAAGGTCAGCAAGGGTGAAAGCAAAAGGCTGAAGCAGTGGAGTAATACGATAAAGTAAGGGAAATGGCTGGGGTTGACAACTTATCTCGCCATGGTTGAGCGTTGAGGCGCATGAGCAGGCCACGGTGCTCCCATCCCATGGATCTTAGGCTTGGTGGAGTGTGCAGCAGTGCACAAGGTAGATGGCGTCCATGGGGGTCCATGGCGTGTAGATGGCGCTTGGAGAACCTGCCATGAGGCGAAATAAAACAAGTCAGTCAATGGGGAGTTGAAGCACAACTCGAAAAAAACAAAAACAAGGAATCAGCAAGCTTGGAGCATTGGAGCAAGGAAAGGCGCTGGGGTTGGTGACTTATCTTCCATGGTTGTTGAGCCTTGAGATGCCTCAGCAGGCCATGGTGCCTTCATGGATCTTGATTCTTGGGCATGCTGAAATCCGTTGGTGAAGAAACCTGCCAAGTGAAGTCAGAAAATCCGAGTTAGAAATGAATAGTCATTGAAGGTAAAGGTACGAACAACGGGACTTACTGCTGGTGGAGAGAGAGGAGGCACCTGCCAGGTGCTGTTGGCAGGTACGTTCACCCCCTCCTTGGAGCTCCAATGACACCATCTGGAGCGATGCACAAGGCCTTGGATAGAACCTGCACATAGATCAAGGAAATTGATTAATAAACAGCAGTGAATATATAATGCAGAAACGGACGGTGCTGCTGTGGTGCAAGTGTGCACTGCCTACAGAGCCAATACCAATAAAAAAACCTTAGGGGGACCTTCACCAACCTGAACCTTTACCATCACCTCGACCTGAACCAAGGGGGGGTGGCTCCGAGGAGTGTGGAGTGGGTGGTTGATACGTTCAACCTTCACCTGCCCAAAGCTGCTCCTCTGTTGTACGCCACAAAGCATGAAAGGCCGCCAAACGGTGTTGCTCCTCTCAAGTCATCGCAGCATACCCTTTGATAGGACCTGCATGTATGGCAATAAACAATAATTAGTAAAGGAAGGGCAATAAAGCATGCAAAACGAAAAGAAGCGTGGAAAAAAACAGAGCCAAATACCAACCGAAAAACCTTCAGGGGGACCTTTACCAAACCTCAACCTGTACCTGACCTCAACCAGGGGGTGACTCAAGTGGATTGTGAAGGCGGTTGATACGTTCAACCTTCACCTGCCCCGGAGCTGCTCCTCTGTTGTACGCCTTGAAGAATGGAGAGCCACAAAAGCCGTTGCTCCTCTAAAAGATTCGGAAGTACGCCTAGCAGCCTCCGTTAGCACCTGCAAGTATAATAAATAACACGAAGTCAGTGAACGGAAGTCAAGAAAGCAAAAGGAAATGAAGACTGAAAACGTGAAAGAAACACCTGCCCTGGAGCTGCTCCTCAGATGTACGCCACGAAGCAAGGATGGCCGCCAAACGATGTTGTTCCTCTGAAGTCATCGCAGCAGACCCTCGGATAGAACCTGCAGGTATGGCAATAAAGAAGAATTAGTAAAGGTCAGGCAATAAAGCATGTAAAACGAAAGAAGCGTGGAAAAAACAGAGCCAATACCAACCGAAAAACCTTCAAGGGGAACCTTACCAACCTCGACCTGTACCATACCTTGACCTGTACCTAACCTTAACCAGGGGGGGGGCTCTGTGAAGTATGAAGGGTGGGTGATACTTCAACCTTCTCCTCTGTTGGCCTTCATGAAGCATGGAGAGCCCCGAAGGCCTTTGCTCCTCTTAAACATTCGGAAATACGCCTCGCAGCCTCCATTAGAACCTGCGAGTGTAGACAACAACATGTAGTTAGTATACAGAATTGAAGAAAACATGCAGAAAACGACTTGGCGAAGTGAAGAAACATGTGCTGCCCCACCACAGAGCCGATACCAACCTGAATCGTAAAAGAAAAACCTCCTGGGGACCTTTACCTAACCTGTACCGAACCTTCACCAAACCTTAACCGGGGGGGAGGCTCTGTGGTGAGTGGTGGTGCAAGCTGATACGTTCAACCTTCGCCAGGACGACTCGTGGAGCTGCTCCTCTGCTCCTCTGGTCGATCGATGACACTTCAGCCACGTCGTAGATGGCCGAGGACGCTTTGAAGAATGGAGAGCCACGAAAGACGTTGCTCCTCTAAAAGCTTCGAAAGTACGCCTAGCAGCCTCCATTAACACCTGCAAGTATAAGAAGTAACATGAAATCAGTAAACGGAAGTGAAGAAAGCAAAAGGAAATGTGAAAGAAACACGTGCTGCCCCACCACAGAGCCAATACCAACAAAACACCTTGGGAACCTTTACCGCACCTGTACCGAACCTGTACCAAACCTTTAACAGGGAGGAGGCTCTGTGGTGAGTGGTGGTGAAAGGTGATACATTCAACCTTCACCGTCACAAGTCGGGAAATTGATGTCGCTTCAGCCACGTCGTAGCTGGCGTCGCGACGAGGTCGAGGAAAGAACGCAGATCAACGTGACGTTGCAGAAACTCCCACGGTCGAGGTAATGAAGCTCCACGATCCGACCATACGATCCAGGCAAGGCTGAATGGCGTCGACGTGAGAAACTGGTGAAGGGTCGAAACTGGTAGCGCGATCGAAAGCCAAGATTAGCAAAAGTGCAAGGAAGGCTACGGAAACTAATTGAAAATCACGAGAAGACGAGCCGGAATACGAAGAGAGACTGAAGATGCGTGGAATGTCTAATTTCGGGCCGTTGGGATGCGGTTTGGAATCAGTGAGCGGCTGGAATTCTCGCTTTGCTGGCTTCGAAGGTGGTCCCGAACATGCCACCGTTGACTACGTGGACGATTGTGGATCATAAGGAATCGCCGAAAACATGAAGATCAGCTCTGATTGGACCGCCAAATGAGCCCCAACGTTTGATTGGACCGCCAACGAAAACACTATCAAACCAGAATGTCCTCAATTTGGGACACGTATGCTGTTTCAACAGCCAGACAAAAAACGCGGGTATACACACAGATTTTGAAGGTATAGTGACGTGGCCTATAAAACTTCCGCTCATTCAACCGCCGC